AAGTAAATTTTTCTTTGGTTGGTGAATTTGGGGCATTGGGCGAATATTAGACATAGTTTTCTTAATAAATATTATCCCTAGTGTCGCTACCATTTCAGCGATCTTAAAAAGAACTTTCTATTTAAATTCAAAATTGATAGTTAAGTAATCTATATTCAACTGTTTTCCTTTTAATAATGCAATTTAGTCTACATTTTTACATACATTATATATAGAATGTCTATAGCTAATACTGCGCTATTTTTAACATTTCTTGTTTAAAAATAATAACTTTAGTAATTTAGTTGAAAAAAGCTACGTTTTTATTATTAATTATAACAAACATACATACATACATACATACATACATACATACATACATACATACATACATACATACATACATACATACATACATTCATACATACATACATACATACATACATACATACATACATACATACATACATACATACATACATACATACATACATACATACATACATACATATCATACATACATACATACATACATACATACATACATACATACATACATACATACATACATACATACATACATACATACATACATACATACATACATACATACATACATACATACATACATACATACATACATACATACATACATACAACCCTATCAAGAACCTATGGGTTGTTTTATAAAGAAACTAAATTAGCATTATTTGGTTGCACTTGTTTTGTCCGATACTGTACATACATACATACATACATACATACATACATACATACATACATACATACATACATACAACATACATACATACATACATACATACATACATACATACATACATACATACATACATACATACATACATACATACATACATACATACATACATACATACATACATACATACATACATACATACATACATACATACATACATACATACATACATACATACATACATACATACATACATACATACATACATACATACATACATACATACATACATACATACATACATACATACATACATACATACATACATACATACATACATACATACATACATACATATTAGGGTTAGGAGTATTGTAATTGTAATAAAAACAAAAACAGTAACAATAACTATTGTTATTGTATTAACTTAATTTAGAAACAATAACAATACTTGTGATTTACAACTATTGTAATAATGTAATGCAATAACAATAAATATTGTTTGCAACTCATCTTTACAAAACAATATTAATAACTGAAAAAAAAATGTATTGTAATGAACCACTACAATAACAATAAATATTGTATTGTAGTTCGTCTTTATAATACAATAACAATATATTGTTATTGTAATAAAAAAAAATATTTTAGAGTCAAAATTTAATAAATGTTTTAACAGTCCAGACTCTGAGATAAGTGACCTTGAAACAAAAGACTTTGTTTTTTGTTTCCCTTCGGCTTTATGGCTGTATGTGTTTCATAAAGTAACTGGACATCTAGTTGCAAAGTTATAAAAGATTTTTGTTACATAAATCAAGAACCAATATTTATTTGGTGTTCTAAACTGCCTCATTTTTCAAAAATGATCCACGCAAAATTTATTGGTACGGTCTGATAGGTGATGAACAATCTAAAAATGTAGAAAATTTTTTAACAAAACAAAAGTAGTTCACATTTTCAGACAATTTAATCGATAATTACTCAGGTTAATGGTTCTTTGATTCCATAACGATGTAATTGAATACACATTAGCGGTTAGATATATTGAAAAAAAAAAGCGCTTAATGTAGTTAATCAATTAGTTTAGACGTCATCATCCGGTAAAACATGTCAATATCAGTTTAGACAAAATTATTAAAAAATATATAATTTTACTTCTTAAAGTAAATAATTATTTAATTACAAGCATACGATAAATTATATATTTGTATGAGATTGAATGAATATTATTAATGTTAATTCTAAATAAATTGTTATTGAAACAGTTATATTATTGAACTCAAAAATAAATAAAATTTATATATGTAAATGGTTTCTAGAAACCTAATATTTATTAAGTATACGTAGTATATACTTCTTTTGCTTCCCTGGCTTCACTTCACTTCTCAAAATAAATAAAATTTATATATATAAATGACTGCTGAAAACGAGCGTCACGGGCACCCCTAAATTATCTAGTGCCCAAATAATAATAAATGCATGAAAAAAGAGTCTAAATACTATAAAATACACGAGCTATTAGACTTTGAAATAGTAATATGTACTTATTGTAATTGTTTTATATCACAGCATACAATAGTTAATGTGTATTACATCACAGCAAAACAATACAATAGTTAATGTCATTGTATTACATCACAGCAAAACAATACAATAATTTTAGAGCTTCAATGTATTGTTAGAAAAAAAAACAATACAATAGTTATTGTAACTGTTTTTATTCACAGCAATACAATAACCATAAATAATGTTTTAATTACATCTCTAGTATTATAATACAATATTATTGTATTGTAATTGTTATTGTATTTAATTTTTACAATAACAATAACAATAGTTCTAACCCTAATACATACATACATACATACATACATACATGCATACATACACACATACATACATACATATATACATACATACATACATACATACATACATACATACATACATACATACATACATACATACATACATACATACATACATACATACATACATACATACATACATACATACATACATACATGCACATATGCATACGTATTAGACGTACTGTATGCTTTTGTTGATGATGAAAAAGTTCTAATATACATTTATTAGAACATTAATATTATATTCATTTTTATTAACTTAGTGATATTAACATAATTGATATAACAAAAAATAAACGAATAACATAGATAAATTAATAAATGCTTATTTAAAAGACTTCTCAATTTGTATAAACGTCATTTTCCACCTATTCATTTTTGACGAGAACAAAAAGGTAAAAGGAAAAGTTATCACATGAGTATGCGTCAGGGGCGGATCCAGCATTTTTTGGTGTTTGAGACAGCTATCTTCCAGACATGGAGCAAACTCCAGACATTCATATGTTTATACTTATATCAAATAAGAATGGTTTGCAAAAAAATGCGATGATTGGAGCCTGGGAACAAAAAAGCCCTAAAATTTGAGACGTACCTGCCCCAAACGTGAGAGCAACAAGATGATATAATATTTTTTGTACTATTCTCAACAAGACTTATATTTATCCATAAATTTTAAATTTCATTGTAAAATATTTCAGCGTTCAAAAATTATGACCATGTAAAGTTTGAATCCCCCTCAATACGAGGGGGTCACAATTTTTATATGGTCATAATTTTTGAGCGCTAAAATATTTTACTATGAAATTTAAAATTTATTGATAAATATAAGTCTTGTTGAGAATAGTACAAAAAATATTTTATCAACTTGTTGCTCTCACGTTTGGGGCAGGTACGTCTCAAATTTTGGGGCTTTTTTGTTCCCAGGCTCCAATCATAGCATTTTTTTGCAAACCATCCTTACTCGATATAAGTATAAAGATGTAAATGTTTGGAGTTTGCTCCATGTCTGGAAGTAAGCTATCTCAAACACCAAAAAATGCTGGATCCGCCCCTGTGCGTAGTATAAATTTTATTTTGCTTGAAACAATACTGCGCATGCTCACGTGATTAAACATTTCTAACTTTCCATATTATTAGGCATCATAACGTATTATGACTTTATACCTCCTTTATCATAATTGTTTGGGCTTTTAATTATCATTCAAATTTTCTATTGTTTTTTTTAACTACTTGTGACGTACAATAGACAATAACTTAGTAGTTAAAAGGTGTTGTTAATTCAATATATGTTATTTATGATTAAATCAATCATATATGTATTTTTATTCAAATTCAAAAAAAAGTTTTAATTGAAATTATTCTTATCAGAAATATCTGCGTCCCGGAAGATTTAACCCTAACTCAAAATCTTTAATGTCAAACATAAAATAGCTTCACTGGTTCAAAACTCTCGAAACTTTTTTCGAGACTTTTGCCCTCGGAATCTACATCTGACTTCGATCTGATCGCCGACTGTTTATAAATGCATATCTGATTCGCTAACTTTTGAAAATGCAATTGTTGAATTTTTCATATCGCCGTACGTTAAACCGAAAACAAAATATACACGGGATATCAGTAAAAACTGACATGACGCTGACGAAACCTAACAATTTGTAATTTTAATGCAGTAACAGTTGATATATACTGTGACAATCCTATCAAAGATGCATTTATTACTGGTTTAAAATCAAATATGATACGCCAGAGACTACTAGAAAAAAAGTATCTCACACAAACATCAAAATTCGACCAAGCTCATTAGAATTTGTGAAATAACACTCAGAAAATATACCGATTAACAATAAGCTTTACCACCGACTAAAAAACTTCGTTGCTTTTGTCAAAACAATCGCCATCAAGGTAGTGCTTGTATTGCTAAAAATGTTGTTTGCCAAAAATGTCAAAAGTGTGTAAATTGAATAGATTATTAAATGTTGCTGAAACCGACGATATATTAGCAATGATAAGTGCTGGGACCCCTAATTAGTAACCGTATGCAACGCGGTAGTAATATAATTGGGGGAAATATTTCTGCATTAATAGATACTAACTTGTTAAAGCTTTTATAAAATGGAATAGAAAAATAAAAATACCATTGGACGAACATTACCTACTTTTTCAGTTTGTAGTCTTAAGAAATCGCAAATATCGGATTATAAAAGCAGTTTCCGTTGCAACTAAATCTCGAAGAGATTTAGTTGCAATGGAAGCTGCTTATATAATCCGATTTTAAGAAATTATTTAATAACAAAGTTATAGAACCAAGAATTCAAATTGTAAATTTAGTTTTAAATTTTTTTTAATTAACAAACAAAAATGATTAAATTTTTTTCGGGACTCCACTTCCCAAAAGTAATTTATAAAGTTTGCTAACATAAAACTTGTATAGTCGAGAGGCGTCCTTAGATGCGAGGAATGTGTCGTAAAATAAACAAAAGAAATATATATTAAAATGGTATTCAAAATCTCTTTTTATTTAGCAATGCAAATGGAATGTTATTATAAATACTTTATCTAATGCCAAGATGTTTGTTTATCTAAGTAAAAAGGTAAAATATAAATAAAATAAATTGCCTGATTTGATTTTATAATTTTAATTTATTTTTTAAATAATATATTTTGTGATCAAAACGAAATTTTGTTTTTAATTGCCCTAACAATAGGTTATAAAATATATAACTATAGTTTTTTAAAAATGTGTATAGCTTTAATAGATAGCATATATCCTTAGTCGGATTAATGGCAGATATCCTTATCCATAATGTTAGAAAAAAATTGCTTTTATTTAATAACACTAGAGATAGTAAGGTACATAATAAATTTTGAGAAGAACTTTCAACAAGTCTATTGTCAATGTTTTGATAATTTTATATAATTGTAATGATTTTTTTTATTTTGCATCATGAATAACATTTTACACTGTAAATGATTTTTAATTGATGTTTTACAATTGAATGAATGAGTGCATACATAGAATGACTTAGATAAAGAAAATATGCAAGAAGTGTTCATATACTGGGGTAAGAGTTGTAATTAAGATTGCCTGCTCAAACTAAAACCTTGATTCAATATATGTATACTCTGTGCATGTTCTTCCTATTTAAATGTTAATGTTTGTACACTACTTGCATATACCTATTTAATTCAGTTGATGTAAAAAAAAAAGGTTTTAAACTATTTTTATAGTTAAAAAAAAAAAACACTTTCTGATTTTCAGATTTTTTCTAATCTGTTCTTTATACTGGAAAGGAAAACAAATAAAAGGGTAATAAGTATTTTGAGCCCCGCATTATTTTTCAAGTTTGATACTTTATCATAATGAACATAATTAAAAAGTCTGAAGTCTTAAAATCTTCAAAAATTCACAATATGCTTTTTAAAGCCTTTTTATATCAGAGGCATTAAAGCATTCTATAGTAAAAATTTTTTTTTAATAATTATATATAACTGTAAAATGTACAGTGAAGTGCAAATATAAAACCTCATCGAAAAAAAGATCTCACAAATAATTTAAATTATTTAGTTGCCTAATATCTTACTTGATTAATATTTAATTTGTTATAGAGTCTGGTTTCATTTTGTTAATTGACTTGAAAATTTTAGAAAAATGATGCAAAATTATAGCCTCATTTCAATTTTACTCTACAAAATTCCATAATGTTTTGTATTGCATTTTGAATTTATTATTAATACTTTGTTTTATTCCCGACATTCTGAATAACTTCAAATATTTGATTTGGCATACTTTCTAAATGTTTTCTAAGATCTGTAAGAGATATGTTCTTCCAAACATGTACAATTGGCCTTTTCAATTTACCGATATTTGAATATTGTTTCTCTTCTGCATAAACACGTCTTGCTAAAATGCCCATACATTTTTTATGGGGTTTAAATTAGGTGAGAACGCTGGCCATTCTAATAATTTAATTTTCTTGTTAGTAAACCATGAGATATTTAACTTAGCTCTATGAGTTGGAGCATTATTGCTGAAAAATAAAATTGGTGTTACAAAATTTTTGTGAAATATAATTCAAATGACCATTCAACAAATTTCTATATCCTTCAACATTTAATTTAGTAGTAATAAAGCCAATCGAAGTTTTTCCAAAATAACCGAATGCACTTTAAACATTACTCCTCAACCTCCCATAGCCCTTCTTTTTGAAAATATTTTCTTTTCTAATGTCATGCCAGTAGTAATTGAAGCCATCTGGACCATCAAGATTAAATTTTTTTTCATCGGACCACACAATTTTTTTCCATTCTTTTTCCGAAGTCATGTGGTCCTTGGCCCATGCAAAGACAAATACATTTGTGTGCTTCAGTTAGTGCTGGAGGTGCACGTTTTTTTTGGTATATCCAAGAATACCTGACATGTTAATTGTACAATTCACCATCCATCTTGAGCATTTCAATCCCAAATCAGTGCCTATTTGTCTCGCAAAGATTGTAAAGTTACTAGAAGCATGCACAATTTGTCTCTGTTAGCGAGCTGTAAGTATAGGTTTTCTACCACTTCAAATTCTTTGTGCAATAATTTGTTGGATCATTTACAAAATTGTTGATCAAACTTGGTGAGCATCTTAGTTTGCAAGCAATTGCGCTGTTTGATAATCGCAACGACCTGAAGGTTTTGATATTGCCTTTTTCTTCATCGGAGAATGTAATTTTTTAAATGCAGTTCATGTATAATTATGCTTGGAAGTCATACATGGAAGTTGCCTATTAATTGATTTCATGTGGTTATTTTTATTTTACGAAAATAACTTGCTTGTGAGTATTTCAATTGAAATATTATATATCTACAACTCATGTTAATATATTTTCTATGAGAAACAGCAGTCATTAAATATTTCTAGCTTGAGTAAAGCGTTTTGAAAAGTGTTGTATATTTTTCAAACTATTGCAACATAAACTCACAAAAAAAAAAAAAGTGATAAAAATAGTGATAAAAATATTTAATTCATTCAGGCAGTCTAAAATATGATAAAAAATATTTTTGTTATAATTGTTCTTTAAAGAAATTAGTATGCATATTGCTTTAAAGGGATCCTCATGTGCCGAGACAAGTTGTGTTCATACTAAAGAAAATGTTTAAGAAAAATGAATGAACTAAATTTTTTTTTGATTAAAACTAAATATTAAATGCGAATCCAGCCCTCGGATTTTACCCGACCTAACTGCCGACCTGAAAGTGTTTAAGGTCGGCAAAAAATTGCCAACCTTGTTTCTATATTTTGTGGTCAGACCTTTGTATCAAATAATTTTTGCCAACCTGATGTCAACCTCTAAAAGATTGAGATCGGCAAACAATTTCTGACCTTATTTTTCCTAATTCCGAGGGTTGTATATCAATAAAACAAAAGTTGTTGTTTTAGTTGAAAGTTACCTTTTTCCATTTTTTCTTGGTTCTCTGAGTCTTTATAATATACGTCGCAATCTGACTACATACATTATTTCATGCACTTTTAATTCATAACAGTTTTAGTAAATGAGGTCATTGTAGATTTTTTTAAAGATATCAAAGTTTGTTTTTTTTTGCCACAAAATTTGTCAGGAAAACATATTTTTATAATTTTTTATTAAATCACAAAAATGTTTGTAATGCAATTAAAAATAAAATAATATACTTGGTTTTGAGATTTCAGTAGCACAACTTTTTTAACAATTGTAAGTATATATCTTTTGTAAGTATAATCCTTTTATCTAGATTTTTATATCAAAAAGTATACTTTCACATCTTAAGTGCACTTTTACATCTTAATGAAATTTATATTATTTGTATGTGTAAAAAACTATTATATCAATTTATTTTCTAAAATTTGTGTAGTTTATTTTATCTACTTAAAGATTTTGTTTTACTTTTTAATTATTATTTACACATATCCCTCTTTAAGTCAGTGTATAATTAGCAACAAATGATATAATGTAAACATATATAAACAACAATATTAGTTAAAAAAGATAAAACCTTTTTTGAATAAAACATTTAAAATTGAATAAAATAGTTTCTGAAGGAAGGTTGGAACCCACAACCTAGACAGCCGTGGCTCATATTAGAGCAATATAGCATACACTGCACTACACTAATCATATTTAATATGATCAACAAAAAACGCCTCTTTAAAAAAAAACATTAAACAAGCAAATATAAGTTTATATATTATTATAATTTTTTTTTTTTTATCTTCTATAAATTTCTTTATCTTCTTTTATAAAAGATATATTAATTTAAAAATAATAATGTTGATTAATAAACCAAATACATTGTTTTATTTTTAGTTGTATTACAACATCTTTTAGAATTTAGTAAAAAATTATACAAATAATATCGATATCTTTTAAAAAATCCAGTATAAGATATGATGTTATTTTAAATTTTTTCAAAGATATCTTCGATATCTTTAAAAAAATCCAAAAATAGAGAAAGTGAGTTTTGACTAAAAACTCAGTTTTATTGATACACATTTATTTTTTTTATTATTATTTTTTTAATTCTGATTCAATCACAGCAAGGCTGCAAGCAACTAATATTAAGTTGGGAGTTTCTACAAAAAAAAAATAAAAAAATAATAGAGCTATAAAGCAAGGAAATAGTTGACAGAAGACTTAAAAAATTGAAGGTTGTATAAGTCAGGAAAACATGAAGATGGGTTAGAGTTTCAAAGGGTTGAGGTGCAGTGAAAAAAACTAGATAAATAAAAGTTTTTAGAGCATGCAGGGACAGATACAGTAAAAGAATGAGACTTTGCTGAATGGTGAGTCAATCGAGAATGAGTTTTAGTTGATGGAACTAGAGATGATAGCCCTTTGAGCAGCAAGCATGATAGTATTTGTAGAAAAAAGAAAGAGATGCAACTTTATGTTGTTTGGAAAGAGGCTCAAGTTCAGCAGATAGAGCGGGTCCATCTATGATTACAATGCATTTTTGGACCTTGTCAAGAAGAGAAAGAGCATCATTAGAAGAATCAGCCCAAATATGACAACAGTATTTCATACAGGGACAAATAAGAGTTTTTTAGAAGTAGCAAATGGAATCAAGAGTAAGAAAATGGTGAGCACAATAAAGAAAAGCAACCTTGGCGGATGCTAATTTAGCAATTGATTGTATATATGGTTTCTATAAAAGGTCAGTAGTAAACGATAATATAAAAAGACATATAGCAGAGGACTCAGTGAGATGGTAGCCATTCATTAATATTTAAATATTAACAGTATTGCAATAGTTGTTTACAGTAAATAACTGAGTTTTGTTGGATTTTACAACTGCAAGCCCCAAATTGTTATAGATCAGATTTAAGATCAACTGCTTATTCTAAGGAATCAAAAAGAGAAGATTTTTTATCAAGACTGGAGCATAAAGTTTAGTCATTAGCGAAAAGAGTTACTTTAGATGTAAGGTTGTCCTGATGATCATTAATTTATATAAAAAAAAAAACCAGGACTAATGGTAGAACCTTGAGGTATCCTAGAAGTAAGAGGAAATGAAGAAGAGTGTTATTCTTCGAAGATGAATTTAATAAATGGTTAGAAATAATCTTAAAAACTTTCCTAGATACACAATATGAAGCAAGCATATAGAGAAGATCAGCTTGCCAAACTTTGTCCTAATCTTTAGATATGTCAAGAGTAATAGCCCTAGCCTCTCCGCCTCTAATTAATGCACAATAAAATCTTTTAGACACAGCAGTCAGCAAGTCAGCTGTAGAGCAAGAGGATCAAAAATGGTATTGATTGTCTGACAGTCAGTCAGACTTAAGATTGTCTGACAGTCAGTTATTTGACTTAAGATGGGATGTGAAACATTTATTGATCAAAGACTTATAAAGACCTTGCTAATAACAGAAAGGAGATTAACTGGGCAATAATTGAAGGGGTCAGAATGTTCTTGGGAGTTTAAAATTGGAACAACAGATGCCATTTTCCAGCAGGCAGGAAAACAAAAAGAGAGTGAAGAGGGTTCTGGAGAACAATTTTGAAAGACTATGACAGGAATGTTGTCTGGAAGCGATAGAAGAATTTAATTGAGATACGACTTTAGCAGCGAAAGCTTGAGTGATTTGAATGTCTTAAAATTGGTTAACTTGTTTAATTGGAATGGAAAGAAGAAAATGTTTATAAGATTCAAGAGTTGAATTAGAAGAAAAAATATTTGCAAGTAGTTCTGCCTTATCCTTGGGAAAGCTAATAAGATCAGTCTAATGAATGAGAGATGGAATGTTAGACTTACCCTTGTTAATGGCGCTGTTGAAGATTTTCCAAAAGTATCTAGAGCTTAAATTCTGAGATAAATTTAGTGAACTTGGAGAATAATGGAGCTTAGCAACAGACAACACTTTTTTACATTGATTTCTTGCACTAATAAATAGCCGTTTGTTTTCAAGAGAGTTGTTCTTTTGAAAAAGATGAAAAAAATGATTACGATTATATATAGCAGCTGCACAAGAAGGTGGAAACCATGGAGTAAAATGAGAAAAGTGATAAAAAAAAAACTCAAAGTAATCTAGAAATATATTCTATTGTTCCACTTTTCCCCACTCTCCCCAACATTTCAGTGATTATATAAATTTACTTTTTTAAATTACTAATCATTTATAAAAAAATATATAAACTTTCATGAAGACCCAACTGCAATACCAAATGATACTATCGATACCAACATAACCCATACTTTTGATACCATTATTCTGTGGTCTCTATATCGATACTGTGAGGTATCACACCAATACCAGACAATAAACTGAGACTTGATACCAATTATCTAGTGTCTACTTTTGAATGCAGTTACCAATTGTTTTTTATAAGTACTTTTATTTAAAAAAATATGGTTTTTTGCAGTTGTTATTGTTATTCATTTTTTCACTATGTTGATTTTTTTCACATTTTGCTATTATGGCGAATTCAATACTTTTTTTTAAATATGCTCAATATTAAAAGAACTCCTATTTGAATATTTGATTAAAAGTAGTAAGAATCAGTATGGTCTTACATATAAACAACTGTGAAAGTTGTCCTACAACTATAGTTTGACTATTAGTATTGAAATTGACAAATCTTGATCAAACAATCATCTTACAGGAGTAATAATCAAATAATCATCTTACAGGAGACTGGATGAATAAGTTTATGAGAAGGCATCCATCAAATTAGTTTACATAAATCTGAAAATACAAGTCATTTACTTGCAACAAGCTTCAATCAGGTCAATGTATCAAAAATTTTTGTTACTTATGATTATATATGTATACATATATGTTTTTTTTAATTATGCACTTCAATTAAATACTAATTATGCACAATATATAATATAACTGCATACAAAAGTATTGAATAAAAAATATCTTTAACTCTGAAACATCTCCCTAATTTCACTGAAGTTTTTATCTTCTTGGTCTTATAATATCCCTCATCACTCCTACTGATTTTACATCATTTCTTGCCTCCCTGATTTTGGTTTATAAATCTCCACTGATTTTGTTTTATAGATTAAATAAAGATAAATAATTTGAATTTAAAATTATTGAAAGGTTATTTAAGTTTTAAAAATCTACCATGTTAATCATACTGATATTTTTTCTTTAGATTGCCATTCCTAACAATACCAAACTATGCAGTATTGGATGGAGTCGCGACCAAGGTTATATTGCATGCGGTGGAAATGATGGCATGCTTAAAGTTTTGTGTTTAGAATCGCCAGGTCAGATTTATTAAAATGGAATTAATGTTGTCATAGAAGTTTTTGATTAACAGTTATTGAAAACTTATTAATCACAGTTTATTATCAACAAAATAAAAATGTGTTGACAAAAGTATTTATTTTATTAGTAGTATATTGCACAAATAATTTATATCTGTTTATGTATTTTCAAAACATATTTTTTCAGAACTCTTTTAAAGTTTTTGCAAACTTCTATTTATTATTTAGTTTTTTTTTTAGATCAAAAGGTCAAGGGCACAGCTGCCCAAAGTAATTTGTCTATGAATCAAACTCTCGAAGGACATTCAGGTAGGTTAATATTTGCTTTTTAGAATAAAAAACAACAACAAAAACTTTTTTATTTTTGAAATTAAGATATATTTATTTTTACATTTAGTATTTTTTATTATTTTCTAAAAAATAATATACAGCCCTCAGAATTAGGAAAAATGAGGTCGGCAATAAATTGCCAACCTTAAACTGTTAGAGGTTGGCATGAGGTTGGCAAAAAAATTTATACACAGAGGTCTTACTATAAAACATAGAAACAAGGACAGCGATTTTTTACCGACCTCAAACAGTTTTAGCTTGGCAGTCAGGTCTGCTGAATGCTGACCTTAATTCAGAGGGTTGATATATATATATATATATATATATATATATATATATATATATATATATATATATATATATATATATATATATATATATATATATATATGTATATATATATATATATATATATATATATATATATATATATACATGTATATATATACATGTATATATATACATGTATATATATGTATATATATATATATATATATATATGTATGTATATATATATATATATATATATATATATATATATATATATATATATATATATATATATATATATATATGTATATATATATATATATATGTATATATATGTATATATATATATATATATATATATATATATATATATATATATATATATATATATATATATATATATATATATTTATATATATACCAACCCTTGGAATTAAGGTTGGCATTTGGCAATGCCGACCTAACTGCCGACTTAGAAGTGTTTAAGATCAGCAAAAAATTGCCAACCTTGTTTCTTATTTTTATGGTCAAACCTTTGTTTTACATTTTTTCTGCCGACCTCACACAGATTAAGGTCGGCAAATTATTTCCAACCTTATTTTTCCTAATTCCGAGGACATGCAAGTCCAAAAAAAAAATATGACTTTGATAGCATGCCCCACAACAATAAAATAGATATACTAAAAAGGTTACAAAATTGAGAAATACAACTATGACAAAAAAGCTGTTTTATGAGATGCAGATAGCGGGAGCAGTATTTTTCAAAATTGATGGAGTTGATTTTTGTTTTAAAGCTCTTGATATTAATGACATTTACAACATCAGATGGCAAGTTATTCCATAATTATCAACTCTGAGAGAGAAAGAATATTTACAAAAATTAAGTTTTATTGTAACTTAACTTAAGTTGACACTTTAATTGTATCTGTGAAATTTAAGTTTTTAATTTAAGTTTGACCTCAAGTATAAATATAATTGATCACTAAAAAGAAATGTGGTACATGAAGACAAACTAAGTTGCTCAGAGTTTTGTAACATAAAATTAAATCTTGCTTTAGACAAAAAATTTTGAGTAGTTCTAAATCAAATATTAAAGTCTGTTAGGAAAATTTACTTAAGTTGGCTAGTTTCCTAGTAAAACTTCTTATAATTTATTTGACTGCTTTTATCAATTCAGTACAATGTGGTGACCAGACTGGAGAGCAATATTCTAAAATAGGTTTTATGTAAGGAATAAAGGCTTTTACGAGAACACATGGATCACAACTTTTAAAAGACTTACGTATTAAATATATGCTTGAATGTTTGCTGCACAGACAACATTTGAAACACTATTTTTGTAGTTTAGAAAAGAGTCCATAGTCACACCAAGGTTTTTTGAGTTTTTAAACCAAGTTAAATTATGAACTCCTAATTTATAATTGAAATTAATATTTTTACAAAATGAACCAGGTGTTATTCTAAGTATAAAACACTTACTGCTGGCAATTTTTAACTGCTAATTTTTAACTGACTAGGGAAAAATTTTGTTGATGGCAACAGTTAGTTTGTGGCTATGATCCCTATCCTTAAATGAGCTATATAGTTTGATATTGTCAGCATATAGCATAAGAGAACAATTAAGATTTTTGATTATAGTTGATAAATGGTTCACATAATAAGAATAAGGTTAGGCCCAAAACGCTACCCTGAGGTACTCTACTAATAATGCTAGATGGTTTTGACAGTGAATTTCCAACAAAAACTTGTTCGTATCTGTTGGATAAAATTGCTAAGATCCAATTAAGGAGGTTCTTATACCATACATTGCAAGTTTTCTCATAAGTTTTGGGTGAGTCAATGTACACTAATATATTTACATCCAAGACACAATATATACTTGGATTATTTGACATTATGTTTTAACAACAGTTTGTTTTGACACTTCAAATAAACACTGCTGTGTGAAGACTGCTGTATAAACACTGCTGTGTGCCAATAAAGGCCGATCAATAAAGTAATAATAATTGACTTGTGATTTATTTTAAAAACAAATTGTAAAGGTGCTTACAATTTACTTTTTACCAAACATTTAGTTTAACAATTATTGGTCAAGTACAATCAGCTTAAGAATAGGCATTTTCTCTTAGTATATAATAGAGGCAGAATTTTTTTAAACATCATTTAGTACATTACTATTTATTTACAAATGTAGCCTGGAACATTTTTTGTACTTGATGAAGTTTTATTAAATCCTTTTAAATTTGCTTTTTGTTTTATGCAAGAGTATTGTTATATCTATAATTTAAATTAATTAAAGTCTCAAAAATATATAGGTACTGTTCAGATAATTACTTGGAATGAGCAGTTTCAAAAACTTACAACAAGTGACCAAGCAGGACTTATTATTGTGTGGATTCTTTATAAAGGTTAGCATTTTTTTAAAAATTTTACATGGTTGCATTTCTTGCAGAATTTATTTTCATAATAAATTTACAGTAAAAAAGAGATATAACCCATATAAGTACAGATAATATAAACCCATATAAGTACAGATAATATATAGTTATTAATATCATTAAAAATAAAAAAATTAACAGAAATGCCGTTATATAATATTTTACACAGCTACTTAATTATGATTAAATACATAATCTTGATTATGTATGAAAGCATAAATACTTATGTTTTTTATTTTTTGAATCACAGGAGCTTGGTATGAAGAGATGATAAACAATCGCAACAAAAGTGTTGTATGTGACATGAAATGGAATGCAGATGGTCAAAAGATATGCATCACTTATGAAGATGGTAATATTTTTTTAAAAATATTTCTTTACCTCTCCAAGGTCAAGAATGACTTGAAAATAATTTCTTATTTTTTTTAGGCTTTTTTTTTTTTATCAAGTTTTTATATTACTTTTTATTGTATTTATATTTTTTTCAAATATGGGTTAATTTTTTATTTTATTTTATTTAAATAGGTCTTCTTTAAGAATAATTTTTAAAAAAATGTTAATGTAACATTTAGTTGTAAATAAGTTTCACTAAATATATATAATAAAATTCACTTCAAGTTTAAATTTGATATATAAATTAATTGTGTTTTTTTGTCGTCTAACTGTAACTGGTTTATAAGAAAATTTTTTTAAGAGAAATTTTTTTAAGAGAAAATTTGTTTAAGAGAAAATTTTTTTTCGTCTAACTGTAACTGGTTTAAGAGAAAATGTTTTTTTTATAAATATAGGTGCTGTTATAATGGGATCAGTTGATGGAAATAGAGTTTGGGGAAAAGACTTCAAAAACATGAGTCTAAGCAAAGTAGAGGTAATTTTTTTTTGTTTCAGCACTTCAGATTATACTTTTAAGTTTGTAAAATATATAAATAAGTCAAAATGTTAAATAAAATTATTTATATTTAATAAGAAAACATTTTTTCTTTAAAAAAATAAAGAATAAAATATATAAGTCCTTAATAAATTTTTTTTTTTTTTTCTTAGATTTCATATTGTTATTTTTTATTCATAATTATCATTTCCATAGGCTTTGTAGCCTTTAAACATTTAATACAAAAAATTTAACAGTAAAATATTTGTTTAATTAAAGTATTATTATATAAAATGACTTTATTATTATAATTTTCTTTTGTGCCAAAACTAATAAACTAACACTACGTTCTAACATGGCCTGCTTAAATACACGGCCGGACTTGTTATTTACAAGTCTGAAAAATAGTAGGCCAGTTTTAAAAATTTATTAAACTTATTATTTATTGTTTATTAAAATAATATCTAAAAATATATTTCAAATGTCAAATATATTTCAACAAAATATATAACTTGAGAAAAAAATATAAGCCAAAAAAATACAGCTATAGAAAAACATAACTTATCATAAAATAAAATAGTTTTAACAAAAAAATACAAAAGCCAAACTTAGCCACCATAAATTAGCCTTAGAAAAAGATGATGATGAAGCTATGGATAAGCAAATCAAAACAAAAATTAAATATACAGAGTCCAAACAAAAGTATATCTATAGCAAAAATAAGTATAATAAATTAAGTTTGTTTCTTGTTGTGTTGATTTTTAAAGGCTACTACTTCATCTTATCGAATCTTTCCATTTTGAAGTGATTGTTCATTATTATAAAATATATTAATAACAGTTGTGTGAATATACTGTCTTCCTGTTTCTAAATGGTCAGAACACATTAAACAAATGTTATCTTTGAACAGTTCAAGTGCAGCTAGAGCTGAATTTTTCAATTTGTTGGAATATTTAGTTAATAACAATTCTTTAGTGATGTCTAATATGCAAAATAAGGAGCAAACATATTCTACCATGTTTTCACTAGGTTCAGTTAACATTCCCCTTGATAGTATTTCCATGTAAGGTGAAGATATTTTTTTAGTTTGAAGAAGATCTTGACACTAAGAACATTTAAATTTGGATTTAATTTTTTTTTGTTATATAGCCAGCAACATAAATAACAACTTCCTTTGAACTTTCACATTAATCATATTCTTCTATTTCATTTTGTAATAGAAGTAAAGATCTTTCAAGTTCTTTTGCATCCTTATTGACTGGTACTTCATTATTAAACCATGTATTCAATGCCGGAGTTTCATTAATTAGAGATTTTATACTAATTATTTTTTCAGAACTTTCAACTTCACGCAAACTAACCAGAAACCTTCCGCCTTTCATCTGCCTAAGTTTCCCAAAATGTTTTTCAAGAGGATCAGTTTGAAATATACTGGTTAAAATGTAATCATATCCTTCTGAAAGTAAATCTTTGATTAAAGATACAGTTCCTTTTAATGTGACTATTAGTGCATTTGATGTCTGATCTGAAAGTGACAATTTGTGACACCCCTGTAAATTCGTATTATACCATTCACTTACATATTGAGCAAAAGCATTTAAAAATTCAGGTTTTTGATCATTTGCAACAACAGCATTTCCTATTTTATTATTAATATTATATATATTCTTTGAATTTGAAATTGTCCACCAAGTATTTATCAAATATAGAAAATTAGCAGCACTTAACTCTTTCGGAAAATAACTTTTGATGGCAGAATATGTTGACTCGTGGAAAATTTACAAAGCCAGTTTAACACTTTATTTATTTTTTTCTGGACGTAAACCAGTTGGAGTAAGTTTGTAAGCTTTCTTTAAATTGGCAGGCAGTAAGTTATCTTTTTCATTAACTTGGTGAAATAACTGCCAATGAATATCTCCAGCTTCAACATTAATTGAATCCTCAAATTTATCAAAATTGAATTTTGGAAAAATAAATCTCTTTGAATGTAATAAATTATTTCTGATGTTTTTTAAAATATGTACACTATCAAATAATGTATAAATTTTATTTTTTCCATAATAAAAAAAAAAGTTTTCAGTAGAATTAAACTTTTTTATGAGTTTTTTAAATGAAAGTGTATTAGTTGAATGGTTGTCTGTGATGATAGCACAAATTTTAAAATTAGCATCAAAAAGATTTGTTAGACACTCTTCAATTTCAGTCATCAACCAATTTCCAGAAATACTTGTTTCAGGACGTGCTTTAACAACAAAAGGTATAGAACGTTTAATACCAACTAACATAAAAACTACAACTCCTGAATAAAGTTCTCCATTCTCATTTTTTCCAACAAATTTACCACCATGATATTGAACAATTTTTTGCAAGTACATTTCATCAATTAACAAAACTGAATCTGAGCTTATTTTTTCTTCTTTTAATAAATATTTTAATGGTTTAATTGGTTTGATTCCACCTTGAGTTTATGCTTTTAAATACGAAAATGAAGGAAAAGGAAATTCATCTAAAAGCAAGTTATAGGCTTGTCTAGAGGAATATCATAGAACCAAAGCAAATCGAATAAGTTCATTACTATATAACTCTCTACCATGTGATTCATAATACATAAAACTATAAAGTTCCCTTAAATTATTTTTTTCTTTTTCTTCAACCCGATTTCTCATATAAGAAACTAAATTTTCTAACATGCTGACACTTGTTAGTGTACACTTATTGTTTTGATGAAACCACTGGGGAAGAGGTATCAAATTTCCCTTATGGTACAATTTTACATGCAGATTGTTATCAACATTAATGTTTTCAATGTTAGTTGATGATGTTACATTTTCAATGATAACAAGATAATAAATAACGCCACCATATATTTTTTTAAATAAAAAATTTTGAGGACAAACTTGTTCTGTCAAGTCATTGATTGAACAAATCTTATCTAGTTTGTTGAAAACCACTGTTTCATCTAGCAATGAATGAGAATAAGGTCTTTTTGTAGGAGTCTTTCTTAAAGTTATAGGTGTAGGAAGTAAAGATGGCTTTAAAAAACAATCTTTATTTGTATGAATTGTTGGAATAGGTTTCTTTGTAAAGTCTAGTGTATTTCTTTTGCCTCGTTTAATAATTTTTTTTTCGAAATGATTGATATGTATTCCTGAGAATTTAGATGGTTTCCAGTTAATTCTGTTTATAAACTTGATCCACCGGGAGCATAAATTTATGTCCGAGGGAAAATTAAATACTGTTTTAGTAATAAAACCCTCTACAGTATTGTCATTTTTTTTCTTTTTGTAACCGCTTCTGCAAGCAACTACACAGCACTTTTTTAGGCATTTTATAAGACAAATAAATAATATAAAAAGATAAAATGAAAGTTTGTTTTTATTCTAATAACAATAGTTGTAATTCTTTTGAGAACCACTTTAAGCAAATAAAGAACTTGACTAAAAACTGGCCTACTAATTATCGGACTTGTAAGCAACAAGTCCGGCTGTGTATTCAAGTAGACCATGGTTCTAAAATGAGTTTTCTTAAATTCAAAAAATTTCATTTAAAATTTTGAAAAACAGCAACAAAAAAAAATTTTTTTTTTTTTAGTTTGTGTTAAAAGGTCAGTTAAGCAATTATGTCATTATCAATGCATTTAGTTAATATATAGAATATAACATATGAGTGGGTCAGAAGCCAAGGGGTACAAGTGACAATTTTACCAAAATTAAGTTAAGTATAGAATTTGATAGAAGAACTAAACAAAATTGTTGGTGGCCAAGGGATACAAGTGAATCTCTGCCCTGTGCTGCTTTCTACTGGAAAAACATAACAACAGCTGAGTATATTTAACAAAAATACTTTAACTTTAAACAGCTGTATCTCAAAACTATGAAAATGTCACTTGTACCCCTTGGCTTCTGACCCACTCATATAAAAAATCCTAAAATAAAAAAAAATCCTAGCTTTTGTTTTAAATACTTTTCAGTTGTTAATTGAGTTTATTGTAATAACAACTTAATAAAATATGAAGTAATGTTGTTTTTCCTAACAACTAAGTGACGCTTAATGGTAATTTATCTTAAAACTATAAAAAAAAAAAGATATTATTGGTAGTACTTACAGCTATTTGGTAGGTTTTTTTTTTTTTTTACAGTGGTCACCTAATGGAAAGATCATACTTTTTTTTTTTAGTGGTCACCTAACAAAAAGGTTGTACTTTTTTACTTCTTTTTTTTTTTTTTGCAGTGGTCACCTGATGGAAAGATCATACTTTTTGGACTTAAAAGTGGCGAAGTCCATGTTTATGATAATTTAGGAAATCAAATTGTAAGCAATTTACTATGTTTATTTCTTATGCTTATTAATAATTTTTATTTCAATAATATAAATTACATATTTACATTTTAACTTGAATGATAAATTTTCACAATAAATATTTATTATTTTAAATTATATTTCATTTTAATAAAGTAAATTTGTGTCATAACAAAAACCGAAGTCATGGTATATATATATCAGCAGGTTCACTCTTCTGAAGTATAAATTAACAATTAAGCCAAAACATTATAATTAAAATTTTTTTTTTTAAACCAAGTTATGCAAAAATAAAGCTTCCTTTTAGAACTATAAATGTAAAAAAAAAAAAATTAAAACAAAGATTAAGATATTCAAAAAATTAAGATAATATTGATAATTATTTTTAACAAGTTAAACATTGTGATTAGAAGCTTTATAAGGTGATTAAGTATCGAAAATGTAGAACAACATTCTGTAAAGTTATTTTAGCATATAAAAATTTTGTATATTATCACTGGCTTTGTAAAAAAATTATATCTTAAAGTATATCTTAAAGTATAATGTTTGATATTTTTTATTATGTCAAGTGTAAATTTAATTTTAATTTTTTTTTAAAACTTTTTAAAATTAAAAAAAATATATTTTTTATATATTTTTCTTAAGTTTTTTATTTATTAAAAAAAAAAAGATGGCGTACAGAATTGCAGGTGTATTTTTTATGACACTTATTTTGATTTTGATTATACAAGAAAAAGATGTAAGATCTTATTTTGTGAACCTAAAAATCAAAATATTTGATTTTCGTTTGTAAATTGTCCCACAACTATTTTTATTTATTACTTCTTGTATGTGGAGATATTCCTGTTTGTTCCAGCCTAACCTATGACTTTTTTAATCAAAAAAGGTTTCAAAATTGCACACGAAATGTTAGAGGTTTATTAACTTTTACTTAGATTATTAAGTTTCACTTAGTGCAACAGTTGTTAAGTTTAAACAGTCTAGATGTTCTTTCTTTATCTGAAACACATATTATAGAAGATGTACCAATTTCAATATTTAATATAAGTAGCTACGCAAGTTTATTCAAAAATTGTAAATCTAGTTTAGGTGATGGAATGGCAATATACATAAAAAATGGGATAAAGTTTAGTAGTGTTTTAATTTTGAAGAAAAGGACCTTGAACAAATATCGATTGAAATTTTGTAAACAAATGAAAAATCTTTTTTGTATATATACTTTTTATAAACTGCAAAACACTTCAAAACATTGACATAAGAATTTTAATGACTTATTTAATAATTGGTTATCTATTATGACAAATTCATATAAAGAGGTGATAATTATTGGTGATTTAAATATGGATTTCCTTAAAAATTATGATAATACAGAAATTTTCAGATATTTTAAAGCTATAGGGTTTTACACAAATTATTAAAAAATCAACTAGAATCACCCCATAATCTTCATCAATAACTGATATAATTGCCACAATGAGCCTGCCAAACTTGCTTTTAATGCAGTGGTTCCAAAAAGTATAGGTGATCACGATATGATATGTTGTCTCAGAAAAATTTGTTCTTATAATAAATTAGTTTAACGCGGAAATTACAAAAATTACAACAAAGATGGTCTTTTAGAAAAACTTAACAAATTGGAGACTGGAGACCATTATACAATATTATTAGTGCAAGTTCAGCTCTGGAATTTTTTACTTAAAAAATTGGTCATGTTTAATAGACATGCCCTACCCATGCTTAAATAAACACGAGGTAGAAAGTGCCCATCATTGAATGCAAACATTGAAAAACTGTTAGGAGAGAGAAATATTTTACTTGAGATAGCCCCCAAAACTAAAAATGAAAAAGATAGGTTGAAAAACAAATGATGATGCAACTGCTAAAACAATTGTACTCGCAAAATCTAAATACCACAAAAATATAATAGATGAAAATAACTTTAAACTTGACGAATTCTGGAAATACATAAAAGAATAATATTCAGCAAATAGCAATATCAGTCTTGACGCCGTTTCCAAATAAAAGTAAAAGTTTGTGTTTTTTAACTATTAAAAAAACTAAACAAAATGTCCTCATGATTTTCAATCAAGGACAACCAAAACTTTTCATTTTTCCTACGTTTCACGCATCTTTGTAGAATGTTTATTAAAATTACTTAAAAAGAATAAAGCCACAGGTACTGACGGTCTTTTTTCTTGTTTACTTAAAGACTGCAACAGCAATCTCCAAACAAGTTATACACTTAGTCAATCTTTCACTTAAAACAGCAACAGTAACGAAATCGTGGAAAAATGCAAAAATAATGCCAATTCATAAATCTGGGCCAACTGATAAAGAAGAAATTTATCATCCTATATCAAATCTTACCAATTTTATCTAAAATTATGGAAAAAGCTGTTCATTATCAGCTAAAAGAATACCTTGAAAGTAATACTATGTTGACTAGTTCTCAGTTTGGATATTGCAAATTAAAATCAACATAATCTGCAGTTACAGTGCTAACTGATGATATAAGAAAAATATTGACAAAGGAAATCTTTTCGGCAGTGTATTTGTTGATTTAACAAAGGCGTTCGACACTATAAGCCATAATCTTCTTCTTAGTAAAATGAAATCATATGGAATATCAGGTAATGAGTATAAATATTCTAAAGAGTTTTATTTAACTAGCGGAGTACTTCAGGAGTGTATCCTGGGATTATTATTGTTTTTTTTATTTATAAATGATTTGCCTGATCTTCCATGTCTTATGTCAGCAAAAATGATATTATATGCAGATGATACTGTGATATACTATAGTCATAAACATCTCAAGACTATTTAAGAGTGTCTAATATCGGAATTAAACAGTATAGTAAAGTACTTTAATAATAATGAACTAATAATTAATCTGAATGTGGGAAAAATGGAAACAATGCTATTTGGATCCACAAACAAATGTAACAAGAATGTACTTTGTGAAATCATATAAATACCATGGATGTAAATTGGATCCAATACTTTCTTTAAAAAATTATTTTCAGGGTAGTTATAAAAAAGCATGCAGTCGTTTAAATTGCTGAGTATATTAAAGATCCTTCCTGTAAAGAATGCTCTCCAACTTCATCAACGATTGTTCCAATATTAACATACAATTATAGCATCAATCTTAATTTTGCAGCAACCCACTAAGCCAAACTAAGTTCATTTGACAGAAGAGCAAAAGATATATTTGGTAGCTATCACAATCTTAAGGAAATTGAGAAAATCATCAAGAGACTCATGCTTATTTGTAAAAAAGTGTTTAAATACTTTATAAACATTTTACTTATTACTTCAAAACCATTAAACATAAGAAATGTAGACAAGGAATATTGTTGAGACTTCGGAAAATGAACAAAAAACTCTGTTTACTTTGCAGGAGCAAAACTTTTTAATAAGTTACCTTCAGATATTTGAAATATGACAGAACTAACATTTAAAAAAACACTAAACAACCAACTTTTTTTTAAAGCAGCATTAATGTACACTTTACTAATTATAATACTTTTTATACTTTTTGTTATTTTTGGATAATTATAATTTCTGTTTTGAGTTTTAGTTTTTAAACAGGACACATGTTTATAACAGTTTTTATAACTGAAAGTATATATCCTGTATAAATATCATTTTAATGAATAAATAAAAAAAGGAAATGACATTAAAAAAAAGTTTTTGTATATATTCTGACAAATGACTTGTTTAGCATAGATTCGCTTTCATTGTTTTTTTTTTTTTTTTTTTTTTTTTAATGATTTATTATTACAATTTTTAAATACTTATGTTATAAAATATTTATTTTATTATGTATTAATTTTGTTTATAAAAAATTTATTATATTTGTATATATTTTTTATATCTATTTTTTTTTTTAAACAAATAACATTAAAGCAAATATTTATTCAACTAATGACTAATGTTCAATCAGATTTTTTGTAGCAAATAATTTTTTTTTTATTGGTAACTAACATAATCGTAATTTAATTATTTATTGAAGCTGACTACAGGAAAATTTAACACAATAAAAATGTGAAGTAACTAACATGATTTAGGCAATAAAATCTTTAAAAAGCAAAGCTTTATTAAAGAATAATTTATTACTTAATTAAATTATATTTTTATTTTTAGAGTGTTATTGAGTTATTTTGTCTAGATGGAGGCTCATCCAATCTAGTTGCTATAGAATGGTAAGTCCTGGTGAATAAGTTGTTAATCTATTTTTTATTAATGCAATTAACAGATATAGTGAAGTTAAATTCTGTTAGGTATAATGGCAATGCTGGTTATTTAGAAGAAAGTTGTCCTTGTCTAGCTATTTCGTATGAAAATGGAAAGTGTCAAATAATGAGAGATGAGCTTGATGAGCTGCCAGTATTAATCAACACAAACATGAGAGTTGTATCTTTTAAGTGGTGCCATAATGGATCGATGTTTGCTGTGGCTGGCTCTGTTGCTAATCAAGACAAAGATGTCAATTGTGTTCAGTTTTATACTCCATTTGGTGAGCATCTGCGTACTTTAAAGGTTCCTGGTAAAGATTTGACATCTTTAACATGGGAAGGTGGAAGTCTGAGAATTGCTTTGACTGTTGATACATTTATTTATTTTGCAAATATCAGACCAAACTACAAGGTAATTTTTATTTTTATTTTGTATTTACTTTTTGGTGGGTTACTTGTACTATACATTTTTTTTTACTTGTACTTTTTATAGTGGGGTTACTTTGCTGACACATTAGTTTATGCTTTTACGAGACCGAATAGGCGAGAATGGTGTGTAATATTTTGGGATACTAAAGGAAGTGAGGTAAATACACATTTTTTTATTTTTATTTAGGTTGAATTAACTATAGCTTAATCAATTGGTTAGTTGAATTAGCTATAGTTTGATTGATTGGTTGGTTGAGTTGGCTATAGTTTGATTGATTGGTTGGTTAAGTTAGCTATAAATTGAATAATTGGTCAAGTTAGCTATAAAATTTTAGTTAAATTAGCTATAATTTATAAAGCAATTTATGTCATAATAAAAATAATAAATTGTAAACATTTTTATGTTTTATAATTTTAAAATAGAGATACATAAAATATGTTCGAAATCTAGTCAATATTGTGACTGCTGCAGATCATTGTGTGTTAATGACAAAAGCTGAGGATTCTAGTCATCAGGTATTATTGACAAGTTAATGGGTTTTTCACATACATTTATTTGACTTTCTTACTGTTATTTGTTAAGAAATTTTTTTAATTTAGTTTTTAATGGTAATGTTAAATTAAAATTAGCTATAAGTTAAAATTAATTTTTTAAGTTTATTTTGGTGTTGTGCAATGCTATTGGAACACCGCTCGATTCAAGGTATATTGATATAGGTAACAACTTTAGTAATGTTACTTTTTTTTTTTAACTAATTCACTCCCAACAATGCTGAAAGCAATGATATAAGTTGTGAGTTATAAGAAACCAAAGAGTAAATTTCTTGAAATGGATACTTTTTTTACATTTACAATCTTTCATACCTTGTCTAGAAAAGAAAATGAGAATCATTAGAAGAATCAATCTAAATATGACAATAGTATTTTGTGCAATCAGAGTTTGTGGAGGAGAGAATGAAATCAGTATTAAAAAAATGGCAAGCATTAAAGCGTTAAAGTGAGGCGACCTTAGCAGATGCTAACATCATAATGGATTGTATATAAAGTTTTGATGAGAGGTTAGTAGCTCAAAAAGTGATTAATTTTGTCAAAATTGGATTATATAGTTATGCAAAAAGGCATAACTCATGTAAGAATGTCAGGAAGATTGTTAACAATGATAAGAAATAATACAGGACCAATGATCAAACCTTGTGGTACCTTAGAAGTTACTGGAAATAGTGTTGTTCTTCAGGGGTAACTAATACTCAAGTTAAAAAAAAAATGATTCAATGATTTTAAAAATTCTCCTAGATACACCATATAAAGAAATCTTAACAAGAAATTCAACCTACCAGATTTAATTGAAAGTTTTTAATTGTTGAGAACAATAGCCCTTCTGTTGTGACAGTTAATAAGTCAGTTGTAGAATGAGGTGATCAAAAAATGATTAAATTGATTGTCAGGGAGTAAGTTATTAGGCTCAAGATAAGATTTTAGAAATTTGTAGATTAAAGAAGAAAAGATCTTCCTAATAATAGAGGGAAAACTGATTGAACAATATTTTTTTAAGAATTTTTTAAAAGATTGGAACCACAAATACCATTTTCCAGCTGGCAGAAAAAGTTCAGTTAAGCACTTAATTAAATTACAGAGTATTGAGAGTTTTGTATGTTTGTAAGGCTTTAACTAGAATGTTGTCTAGACCACAAGGAAACAAATTTATAAAGCTAAAATGTTTTCTGAACCACAAACAGTAGAAGGGTTTAAGAGAGAACTCTACTCTGGGATGAAAGGAAGTGCATGATTAGATAAGATTCAGTAGATATGAGCTCTTCTGTTACCTTGGAGAAGGTAATAAGATCAGACTTATGAATCTGAGATGGAATTTTAGATTTACCTTGGTAAAAAATCTGTTAAAGATTTTCCTAAAGTATCTAGATCCTAACTTCTGAAATAAAATACAAGATTTAATAATCTGAGAATAATGGAGTTTAGTGTTTAGGATAGAAATTCCAGTTTTAAGATAGTAATAAGTGGGATGATAGAGTGAGTCTGAAAAGAGGAAAGGTTTTAGCAAAATTATGACTTTATTATAGAAAACTTAAGCAAAATTATGGCTTGATTATGCAAAAATTAAGCAAAATTAGAATTAAACCACAAAGAAAAACAAGGAAAAACATAAACTAGGGTGGTAAGTGATCAGGAAAACAAGTTACAAAGTTATCTGAGTAAGATATTAAAAAATACAAAAGTTTTAGCTTTAATGCCAGTGGTATTAGAGACATCCTATTCTGTGTGATGAGAACTAAAGTCACCATAAGCAGCAATATTGGCTGATAAAGAGAAAAGGTTTGGTGGAACATCAAATAAAGTTCAATCTTGAGACGAAAAACATCAAATAGAGTCTTGAGAAGAAATAAAACAAAAAGAAAGTTGAATAAAGAGATGCTAAATGGAAGCACATTAAAAAATAGTCAGAGGACTCGAAGCCAATTTCACCGCAGATAGGTGAGTTGATGCGTATGTATGTCAAACATAATATCTATCAAAACTGAGATCTGAAAATAAAACAGCGGAATTCAAATTATTCTCAAAAAGAGCTTAGAAGATAAATTTTGCAGGAGATAAAGTTCAGTCAAAGAAAAGTTACTTCAAATACCACAAATGTTTGTAAAAGATACTTTGAAACAACTAGGTGGAGATTATTTTTTATGTTTATTATTTTTAAGTACTTTAGTCATTTATTAAGTTTATTAGAAAATTTGACTCAATCGGAGATAGTTATTACTAATTGATCTCACAACCATTAAGCTGAATATTTCTTTTTGTTATCTCCCTCATTAGGAGATAACAAAAAGAGTTGTATAGCTTTTTTTACTTTTTTATTTTATTTTAATTCACCTCCCCAAGACCATCAATGCCACTACAGTCGAGAAGACTAATTTAGTTATAATTAAAAACCCTCTCTTAACTCTATAACTCCAAAACACGAACCTTGGTGAACAAAGCTGCTGCGCTGAGAAACAAGTTGAGCGCGGTACTACCAGAGACGTGGTGGGGATCAAACTTTTTATTAAAAGCAATCAAAATAATTTGAATCCTAATTTTAATTTATTATTTATTTTTATTTTATTTTTGCAGTTTACATTATTTTTAATATTATTCTTTAGAACCGCGTTTTATTTGTATCACATCAACTCATGTTGTGGCTGCATCAAAAGAAGCGTTTTATACATGGAACTATAAAGCAGTTAAAAAGTTTAACACTGACATAGCTCAAAATGTTAATCGAAAAAAAGATGGTAGTGAGAAGTAAATGTTTTGTCTTGTTTAAACTATATTTTGGGATGGGTAGATACAGTAGGGAGAAGGGGTATTTTATAATGCCTATAATTTTTTTCTTCTATTATTTAACTTGATTTTTTTGTTTGAAGATATTTTCACATTGATGATGTACCATCTGGTGCTGGTGATGGAATTACAGACTTGAAAAAAGCCAAAGCTGTGAGTAAAAATTGTTTTATATATTTTATGAAAATTCTTTTACAAAATTAAATGTGCACAACATTTACAAATATTTTAAATTTTTTTCTTCAACCTACTTTTATAGTAATTGTAAAGAGTTATATATTTTTATGAGTTATTTTTATTTATTTTGTTATGTATAATATTTTTAATACTTGATGTTAAAAGTATTATACATAATTAGTTAATTTTACTGTTATATATTATTTATAATTTAATTATTTTATTTATTATGTACTATGTAAGAGCTTGATCATCTTTATTTGTTAGGCAACATCAGATCCTGTTTGCAGCATTTGTGTTTCTGACAAGTTACTGATTATTGTAAGTTAGGTCGTTTTCTTCAATGTTTCTCTTTACACTCACACAAAACACACATCTGACTATGTTGTACTGCTTTAAAAAAATTTATTAAAACTTTAAGAAAAAAATATAACGTAGTTACACTATTGCTAATTTTTGTTAGGTATTTGAAAAATTTTCACTTTATAGATTTAGTAATCAAAATTCAAAATAATAATGATAATAATAATAATAATAATAATAATAATAATAATAATAATAATAATAATAATAATAATAATAGTAATAATAATATTAAAAAACTAAAAAACAAAAAAGAGAAGAAAAACTAATGTTAATAAGCTGTTGCTAGTTTTAAATTTCTTAACTTCTTTTATTGCAATTATTTAAACATTAAATTTTGAAAATAGTTGTTTTGATTGTCATTGATTTAAAAAATTTGTAACTATTTGTAATTTTTGTGACAGTGTCAAATAAGTTTTAGTTCTAAAAAAAATAAAATTGTTAAAAAATAAATAATTGTTAAAATTTTTTTTTTTAAACGAACAAACAAAAGAGAGAATTTTTTTTTAGAAAAGTAATTTCTGTTCTTCTTTAATCGATCCTAGTCTTAATTTTAATCGATCGTGGTCTTAATTTTAATGATTATGGTCTTAATTTTAATGGTCGTGGTCTTAATTTTAATGATCCTGGTTTTAATTTTGATGATCATGGTTTTAATTTTATTGACCGTGCTCTTAATTTTAATGGTTGTGGTCTTAATTTTAAATTGAATTAGTGTAAACATTATCAGGTGTGTTTAGAAATAAACAATTTCTTTTATAACATGTAAAAATTTTAATTTATTTAAAATGACAATTTTTTTTCTTTTATGAGATGTGTGTAAGCAAATTTCTGATTTTTAAGAAAATTTTAGCAAGTATTTAATAAAAATATATGCATCACCATACTCACACATTTAGTTGAATATTTAACATAAAATTTTACATATCACAAATTTATTTTATTTAAAATTTTATTACTACAGTATGTGGTTTACAAACAAACCAAAAATTTATGACACTTGGCTTGTAAATTATTATAACCGAGAGTTGCTAAAGTTGGAACACTTAAAGAATAAATATTTTTCAATTAATGGCTTAAGTAGGAAAACATTTAAGAATTGATTAGTATAGATGTTTAACCCTAATATACCTTTAACCATTTGATGTAATTGATTGGATTGTTATTGTAAATAAACTTTTTTCAAGGTTTTTTCCTTTTGTTCCATCAAGACGATCTGTTTACTTAATTGGAACACATTAATTCCTTAATTAGAACATATCCCTTTTTTGAAATACATTAACATTAACAAAAGATGATTAAAAATCATTTTTATCTTTGTTATTACAAACTTGTTTAAATAAAAAATAACAACTTAAAGTTAATTTTTCATAAACTGAATTAAAAAATCCACTTTTCGAAAAGTATTTATTTATACTTTCACAACAGTTAAGGGTCAAAGAAAATGAAATAGTTTTTTTTTTACATCTAAATCATAAAAAAATGAGGCTTTATAAGATTGAACAAATTAAAGACCTGACTTTAATGATTTTTATCTTTTGTTACCATAGAGAAAAAAGTTTCTCATAAAGTGTAAAAATTATCATAACAAAATGTAAACCTTGTTTTTTATGATAATTGTTGTTTTGCTCATCTTTAATTATTGCACATCTCTAACTATTGTAGTTTTTTGTTTGTTTGTTACTATGTAAAAATTTACTACAAAAATTTTTATTTTTAAGGTTTATATTTGTAATTACATATTTTTAAATTGCAAAAATAAAATGCAAAATTTAGTGATTTTTTTCCAAAATAAAATGTAGTATTTCAATTAAGGGGGCTGTTTCAATTAAGTCAATTCTTCCCTATAAGGTAAATTTCATTTTATACATATGCACACTCATACACACATTCACACATCAGTCTTTGCGATTTTGCGCTTCCCTACATGCACACATACTTTGGCAAGCTCTTATAAAAGCACTTTTCAAAAAAATATTTTTTTTTTTTAAATAGCAACAAATCTTTGTTGCTAATTAAATACTTTGATAAAAAATCATAATAATACTTTCATGTGCAAGTTATTTTATTTAGAGTTTAAATAAAGTGTTTCTTTTGTTGTTTTTATTTTTATTATTTTATTTGGAATTTAAATAAAACCTTTGTTTTGCTTTTTTTATTTTTATTTTTTTTGTTGATAATTTAAATAAATTGTTTTTGTTTTAATTATTGTATTTAGAATTTATCTAAAGCATTTTTTTGCCATTTTTTAAAATTCAAATAAGAAATAAAAATAAATTTGCGCATGCCAGTCTAATAATGATCTTTTGATCAATGCTTTTTCAAGCACTAGAATTGATATATATATACAACCCTTGGAATTAGGAAAGTTGAAGTCGGCAATAAATTGCAGACCCTAATCTTTTAGAGGTTGGCAAAAAAAAATTCATAAAGTCTAACCATAAAGCATAGAAATGAGGTTGGCAATTTTTTACAAACCTCAAACACTTTTAGATTAGCAGTTAGGTTGGCGTTGTTGAATGTTGACCCCAATTCTGAGGGCTATATATATATATTTATATTATTATTTTATAAACATCAATATATACAATTTTCTTTCGATACAAAATTTATTTTTTATTTTTTAAAAGAAATTTTCGCTGGATTGTTGTGACCAGCGTCTTCAGCTTAAAAGATTTTGTTTGTTTTAGTTTATATGTTATTTTTAAACAGCAATTTTATTATATGTCAATGGAATGGTTTCGTCTTTTTCTGACGTAAGTGCATTAGAAATGGTGTCCAGAATTTTGTTGACACATATTGTCCCTCATATATATATATATATATATATATATATATATATATATATATATATATATATATATATATATATATATATATATATATATATATATATATATATATTTATATATATATATATATATATATATGTGTATATATATATATATATATATATATATATATATATATATATATATATATATATGTGTATATATATATATATATATATATATATATATATATATATATATATATGCATAATATAACTTTTATAACCTATATATATTTTGTATATTTATATTATATATATATATATATATATATATATATATACAACCCTCGGAATTAGAAAAAATGAGGTTGCCAACCTCAAACTTTTTGAGGTTGGCATTAGGTCGGCAAAAATTATTTGCTACAAAGGTCTGACCATAGAACATAGAAACGAGGTTGGCAATTTATGGCAACATTTATATATATATATATATATATATATATATATATATATATATATATATATATATATATATATATGTATATATATATATATATATATATATATATATATATATATATATATATATATATAAGCATATATACATATATATAATTTTTTTAGGGTAGAGTATCAGGTACAATTCATAAGTATTCTCTTCCAAGAGTGAGTTTAGAGAATAAACATCTAATAAATTGTCGACCTTTTCAAATGTCACTTAACTCTAATTCTACGTAAGTAAAATTAGTAATATGTATGATTTTTTAAGTTTTATGGTGTTTATTCAGACCATTAGTTTTCTGTTTTTATTTCTTTTACTTATATTTTATGAATATTAGACTAGAACAATAATAGACAATTTTATTATTACAAATAAATAACAATTAAATAATTACAATCAATCAATTATTTAAAAAAAAAGATTTAATGATAAATTTTTTGAATAATTACTATTTGATTGAGTGTAATCTCCAAGTACCAAATTCAATTTTTTAAATATGCTTAATGGTTGTTATATTTCTTGAAATAGATCTTTTTAATAATTTAATTATTATTAAAACTATAATGGTGATAAAAATAATAATGATACTAATCATAGTGTTAATGAATACTAATAGTGATACTTTTATTAGGCGAATGGCAATTATTGATATTTTAGGAGTTCTTACGTTTTTTGATTTTGTAAGTTTGAGTATTTTGTTCTAATTTTTGTTGCTTTGAAATGAATTTTTTATTTCTAAACTTTGCTATTTTGTATAAAATTTGTTCAAAATTTTCATTTAAAAGAGTTTGTTTTAGGAAACAAAACGTACAGATTTAGAAACAGGTCATGATGAAGTTGGAGAACAGTTAAAGCTTGAAAGAAAAGATGTGTGGGATATGAAATGGGCTGATGTATATTATTTTTGTTTTGTTATATTTGCTATGTTTAATGTTGATAATTGTTTTGTCGTTAATAAATCTTTAATTATAAAAAGATTTTTAAATTAAATTTTTGTTTAGGATAATCCAGAATTATTTGCTATGATGGAAAAAAATCGAATGTACATATTTAGAAATCTTGAACCTGAGGTATTTTTTTATTATAGAATTTTTTATATATATAACTTATATATGTATATATATATATATATATATATATATATATATATATATATATATATATATATATATATATATATATATATATATATATATATGTATATATATGTATATATATATATATATATATATATATATATATATATATATATATATATATATATATATATATATATATATGTATATATATATATATATAGTTTTTAAATATATATATATATATGTTGTATATATATATATATGTTATATATATATATATACATATATATATATATATATATATATATATATATATATATATATATATATATGTATATATATATATATATATATATATATATATATATATATATATATATATATATATATATATATATATATATATATATATATATATATATATATATATATATATATACAGCCTGCAGAATTACAGTCAGCATAACTGCTAACCTAAATGCTGACCTAAAAGTATTTGAAGTAGAAAAAAAAACCTACTACTACTTTTTTATGTTTTATAGTAAAACCTTAGTATCAAAATTTTTTAAGCTGACTTGATGCTGATCTCTAACAATTTAATATAACAAGTTCTATTAGTAATATAGTTGTATATAAGTTTATTTGGCTGTTTATTTTGTTAAAGTAAAAGTCTACAGCTCTTTAAAAAGTTAACATGTTAGTTATTTTACAAGTGGTTGCTTAGCTATAAGTAATGCTTTACTTCAAATGGCGTAGTTAATTATTATCTTTGTGTAGAAAGCATATTGCGTTTTTCAGTTTATAGGGTATTTTTAGTATGTGAAAGTTTCTATCTTTATTTTTTAATTACTTTTGGAGATGCCATTATAACATGTTATATGTAATAGGTGCTAAATGATCTTGGTTGTAAAGTTTACATTTCTTTATCTTTAATTAACTTGTTGAATCTTTGAAAAATCAAATAGCATAAATTTAACTGCAAACTTTTTGGAGCCCATTTGAGTCATTATCATCTATATCTCTATAGTGATGGGTATACAGATTAATTGACAATCAATTCTCTGATTTTTTATATATTTTTATTTGTAGCGACAGCTATAATATTATTTTTAGTGTGATTATATATATATATATATATATATATATATATATATATATATATATATATATATATATATATATATACATATATATATATATATATATATATATATATATATATATATATATATATATATACATAAATATATATATATATATATAAATATATATATATATATATATATATATATATATATATATCCTACTGAATGGAAAGATGTTTTATCAGGAGTAATACAAGGAAGCGTCCTTAGCCCGATCCTCTTTTTAGTCTATGTACTAGACATAGTTGACTACCTCCCAAAAGGCATAACACACAAGAAATATGCAGATGATATCCTAGCTTACATAACTGGTAATAACTTTTCCCTTCCACAAGAAGTGGCAAATAGTCTACAAAGATAATAAAATGCTTCTCAAAGTTATTTATATTGGCAGAGGTGAAAAGCCAGTCATAATATTAAAAAACAAAAATCTTGAAGTTGTAAACTCATACAAATATCTTGGCATCAACCTCAACCCAAGTCTCAATTTTGACAAGCAATGGTCTAGTCTACATAAATAGCAGCTCCAAATATTTGGTGGATGGTCTCAACCTATGCTTATATCTGCCTACTGCGCTTATTGCCTTAGCCACTTTACTTACAATGCAGTTATCCTCACCTCAATGACCAATAAAACTAAATCTTCGATGCAAGTCTTTCAAAACCGCCTTTCAAAACCCCTCTCACATTGCATTATAGATATTACATTTATATGAGTTTCTCTGTCAAAGCCAAGCTCTCACATTACATAAACATCCTTTTTTTCTTTCAAAAATTTAAAACTTTTTTTTTATATAATGTGTATTGTTAAAAACTTGGATTTCACTCAAATTATTAAACTAAAATATTTCACTCATGAAAGGTTATTATTTTGGCACAATTAAATGGGTTTTTTTATGTCCATCTAAACTCTGTTTCCTTCTTTATTTCTACTTTTATACTTTTATACTTTTTTTTTCTTCGTAGAACCTGGATAAAGGTTATAAATAGCTACTTCTTAAAATAAAAGTCAATTTAATAAATGTGCAATAATTTTGTGTTGAAATTTTTTGCTTTATCCCTTTTAAAGATTATTGTGTATTTTAGGAACCTGTTACATCTTCTGGATACATATGTAGGTTCAGTGATTTGCAAATAAAAGCTGTTTTATTGGATGAGTTAATGAAGGTACACAAAATAAAACAAATACTTAGTTTACTTAAATTTATTGTACCAATATAATCATATAATATAATGCAGAATAATAAAAATATATTGTTTTATGTCTTAAGAACCCAGATAATCCATCCAAAGATCATATTGTAGAAATGGAGACAAAGGTACATGATATTGTTTGAATTAAAACTAAATTTCAAACTGGTTTACAATACCAGAAATATTATGATATTCTGGTTTACAATAAGTATTATGTTAGGTATGTTTTCAATAATTAACATTATTAGTTTTGTAATTTTTTCCCAGTCCCTACGCGATAGTCGGGATTTACTTGAAAAAGTTGGAATCGATGATGCTTATCAATTTATTGTTGACAATCCTCATCCAAGATTATGGTATGACAATTAATTTTAAAGTTGGAAGATGTAGGAGTTATTAAATTGCAATAATTCTACATTTAATATTAAACCATATTGTTAGAATAAGGTTCCTATGTAGTTTTAGATATAAGCACAAAAATAATTTCAAGGAAGCTTCTGTTGTGTTTTACTCACATTAACTTACATGATCAACAATAAATTAAGGTCATTAATTAAGGATATCATTTAATCAGAAAAGATATAGTTTTATGTGGCTAGAATCAGGTTATGTAATCTAAAATGACCTGCTGCATTTTCTTTGTTGCATCTGAAAATAAAGGAAAAGTTGACTTTAAAACTTTTTTTTGTCTTAAGGTTTGTAGTTAAGGGAATGCTAGAAAATTTAATCAAAAACTGTTTAATTTTTTTTGTATTATGTTGTTAATAAATATTACATTTTTTGCAAAGCCTTTAATAGTTACATACTTAGGAATTAACACTACCTAGGTAGTGTTAATTCCATCACCTAGTTACTCTCCTTATGCATTGTATTAGGAAAAGTTTTCTAAATTATTTATAAGTTATTATCTTTCCTTGCCATTTATTGGCCAATAGTATTGACATTTAGTATTGACAGTAATTTCGCCGATTAGTGGAAAATATTTTTTTCATTTGAAGTAACCTTTAAGTTATTTGAAATTATAATATAGCATGTTACACAGGAACTTTAAATGAAATATGGTCAATGTATCCATTTTTAGAAATGTTATCAAATAGCCTGATAAAAAAAAAAAAAAAAAAAATCCAGTAAGTTTACTACTTCAACTTGTCAATTGAAAATAAAAAGTCATTTAAAAAGTTTTCAACTTTGACAGAAAAATATGAAATTGTTTCAGTTTGTTAAGTTGAGCAAGCATGAAAGTAAACTTTGAAAAGTTTGTGATTTTTCAAACGAAAAAAATGTCTTGATACAAAAATCAAAAAAAAAATTATATTTATTTCCATATCAAAAAAAAAATTTACACTTTGGCATGACTAGAATAAACAAACTTTATTTTATGTTCATGTCATGAAGAAAATGATAAAATAAAACATGTTGTATAGTGAAATATGTTAAATGGCTATTATATCCATCACACACCAGTAAAATAGGCTTTTCTAAATCCTTTACATATATAATAAATCTGTCAATCCAACTTTCATCAACTGTCTTCCAAAAAGATAGTCCTCCATCCAACCTGATTTTGTTACACCATACATAGCATTTTTGGTCCATTTTTTGGAAGACTTTTCTTCCTTAAATGACTAAGGTAAAAATCGAAGGAAAAATTGTTCTATGATTCTAATCTTAAATCTATCAATAGCATTTTATACAACTGTTATATATACCTGTGAGCATAAATATATCAAAATAGTTTTATTTGTATTTTAAAAATGTTATACCTCTCCATTTACCCCACAATCATTTGACCTATATATCCATTTTACCATATTTTACACCACAATCATTTCACCTATATAAACATTTTACCCCATTTTACCCCACAATCATTTCACCTATATATCCATTTTACTCCATTTTAGATTTTTGCCATATTTTCAATATGGGTGCGAGAAATTATTAATTAAATTACGCATGTTGTTACATCGTAGTCTTAATATAAAATTTACATCATGATTTTATGTTTTTTAATAAATTACATATGTTATTGTTTAAATATTCATTTAAAACAAATAGATACAATAGATACAATAGCTTATTTTTTTTGCATTAAATATGTTAATGCAAAAAAAAAAAGTTAGTTATGTAAATAAACTGTTGGTATATTTTAGCATTGCGAAAAGAAACTTGTTTCATGTGTACTAATTCAATATATCTATATTATTCCACCTATCCATATTACCCCACCCAACCCTGTGTGCAATGTTACTGTAAAAGAAAAGAAAACAAGTGAGAAGCTTTGGCAAATATTGTTCTTAATGTTTGTTTTTGATTGAAATGAATAACAAAGCTTTATTACATCTATTAAAACTGACCAACTTAATTATGCATATTAAAACTGACCAACTTAATTATGCGTATTTAAGTCATTTCTATAAAGTTAAAAGATTAATTTAGGGATATTAACTTGTTAAGTAAAACCATAACTTTTTTAATGAAACTATTTTGGCATAAGGTGTTTTGTAAAAATTTATAAAGTCATTGTTACTCTGTTGGTTTTCTACTATTAATTTTTTAAAGCTTTTTAAAGCTGATAATCTTTAGATAAAGTTAATCTTTATAGGAGACTTTTAGCAGAAGCAGCACTTGAAAAGCTGGATTTAGAAGTTGCAGAGAAGGCTTTTGTTCGTTGTCAGGATTATTACGGTATCAAATTTGTAAAACAGCTCTCAAAGCATCACAAGGATGTAAGATTTTTTCATCATTATTGAAGCATGCTTTGTCTTAAAGCAATCCAGTATGTGCATTTTATATATGAATAAAATAAACCTATTTTATAATAAACATAATAAATAACAAATAGAAAAATTTAAGTTTTGAAGTTCTTTTTGTTTAACCTTTCATTGCTTAATGTTTATTTTTATTTTTTACCGCTTAATGGGAGCCTTAAGCAGTGTAAATAATATTTAAATTAACTTATATTAACTCCTATTTTCATAATTGTGTATTTTCATTTTTAGTTTGAATATCAATAGCTTATTTTTATTAAATAAAAAAGGACCATGTTAAATAGTTAATTTGCAAAAAACTGTGGGTTTCTTGAAAACTTAAAATAAGGTAGCAACAGTTCTTTCTTTCTTCTTGTTATTTAGGATTAAGATGCAACAAAAGGTTAGGGTTACTGAATATAATCCTGAAGTAAATCAGCCCTAACTATTAAATTTTAACAACAAGGGATTGTCGTTTGGTACCTTATAGGTTTATGATCCAAGCTTAAAAATTTTTAACACCAGGAATTAGAAATTAGTGTCATAAATAGTCAGTGTTTTAAGTATATTTTTAAAATACTAAGTATTAGTTCAGGCAGTATAAGGTTAAAGTTATTTTTTTTGTTTAATTAAAAAGTTTTTAAGTTTCAATAATGGCTTTACTTATCATTTTTATTTTAAGAATGAAAATATTAAACATGCTGAACTTGCTGTCTACTTTCAACGATATGATGAAGCAGAGAAAATGTATCTGGATATGGATCGTTGGTGATTAATTTTTTTTTATTTTTTAAATACTTTTTTTTTTTAAATATTTGAAATATTTGTGATGGTTATTAAGTACTTTTTTATTAGTTTTAGACATAATTTTGGTTTCAAGAATATAAAATTAAAAAAATAGTTGTTATACTAGTTGTAACACTGATTAACAATTTGAAAAATATTTTTACGTTATATGTATATATTGTGACTACAGAAATGTATTTTTAAACTCTTCATGCCCAAGCCTCTCTCCTTAATGACCTCAATATTTCCTTATGTCTTCTATTAGATGCACTTATTATTTCCAATCTAAAATCAATCTAAGATCATCGAATCTTCTATTAGATACACTTATTATTTCTAATCTCAGTCTAAGTTTATTGCTTATCTTATTTTTTAGATTCATATCATCAACAACAAATATTCCGAGTTTTTCCTTTTCTAAAGAAAACAGACTGATTAAAGAAAACAGACTGATTAAAGAAAACAGACTGATGGGGACATGGAATATATATTTATAGTCATGAAAGCATCAGTTATTTTAATTTGACTGAGTTATTTACATAACGAAAATATTGAGTAAATATGGTGCTCAGTTTGTACAGTTTCAGAAATAATTTTTTGTAGGTGTATCTATAGAGTAGAAGGTTGTATTTAATAGGTTGGATTTATTCCATCAGATCATTACATCCAATGAGGCTGTAAGTAACCATAATTAGAGTTGAAAGTTAGTGGAAGAGAAAAGATAAAGTTTATAAAGCAAGTAAATGATTAAAAGATGACTTGAAAAATTGGAAGTTATACAAATCAGCAAAACAAGAAGTAAGGAGCGAATTCCAAAGAGCTAATGTTCTAGGAAAAAAACTAAAATAAGAATTTTTGTTTTACTTAGGAACAGTTACAGTAAAGGATGAGATTTAATTGAATGATGAGTAACACAAGAATGAATTTTAGTAGATGGCACAAGAGATACTAGCTCTTTAGAGCAGCGCCCATTATAGTATTTATAAAAAAAGAAGCAACATGACGTAACAATGGTTGAAGGTTAGCTGCAAGAGCAGGTCCAACAATGTTTACAATGAATTTTTGCACCTTGTCTAAAAGGACATCATTTGAAGATTTGCTCCAAATATGGCAACAGTATTCCATACAAAGACGGATTTGAGGTTTATAGAGATAAAGAATTGAATCCGGAATAAGAAAGTGGTGCAATTTTGCAATGGATTTGGTATATGGTTTCCAGATCAGAAGTGAAAGTTAATCATAGGCGACTAAGGGTAGATTCATTGATTACATTACCGCTCATAAATATAGCAAAAAGTTTTATCTAAGTTAAAGTTCACCAACCACTGAGAGCCCCATGCTGTAACAGAATTGAATCATTTTCAAGCTCAAATGCCCCTCCAAGCAATCAGATAGTGTTTCTTATCAAGGCAAGAATAAATGGTAGTATCATCAGCAAACAATGCCACCTTAGATGTGAGAATTTCTGGGAGATAGTTAACGTAAATTTAAAAAAGTATAGGGTCAAGAATAAAACCTAGAGGAACCCCTGAAGTTACAAGATATGAAGAAGAGTGCTGCCTATCGAGAACAATTTAATTTAACAACCAAAAATATTCAATGCGTTTATATGTATAATTAATGTATGTAAATATAAATGTAATAAATAGTTGTAAAAATCAAAACAAAGTGATAATGGTTTTGCACTATATAAAAGGGGCAACATGATTCTGGTATGTTTAAAAAAAGGTTTCTGGTATTTACAGGCTTTTGGTACTACCTTGTATTACTTGAAGATAAAAATTTAAAGTATTAAAAAACACAAATTTGAGTTGTATCTTTGTAAAAATAGCTTCAGAGCTAATTAACAGCATAGATTTGTTAAAAATACTAATGTACTAGAATGACGTAGTTTTAAAAAAGATTTTTTAAAAGATTTTTGGTACCTCCAGTTTCCAATATAAAAAACAGATGAACTTTGGTTTGAAAGTAACTGAAAAGTCATTGATTTTATTTAATTTTTGAAAAAGGTCACCCACCATGACCCTTGATTACACACTGGCTCCCATATATCAGTGAATTTTTTTTCTTCAAAAGTTTATCAACTTGGGTATCAAAAGAACCAGAATTTCATAGAGATTTCAGAAATAATAATGGTTTCAAATAAAGAAATATTGCTTAAATTTTATATACAAAAAAAAACAATTTTGAGCTAAAAATTAAAGAAGTTATTTTTTATGATATTTTGTTAGCAATATATATATTTTTTAAATGTTTTAGTAAAAAAGTTTATAAATTTTGAAATCACAATAAAATTCTGGTTCTTTTGAGACCAGGTTGATATACTTTTGAAAAAAAAAAAAAATTCACTGATATATGGGAGACAGTGTGTAATCATGCAAGCCAGAGTCATGGTAGGTGACCTTTTTCAAAAATTAAATAAATCCAATGACTTTTCAGTTACTTCCAAACCAAAGTTCATCTGTTTTTTATATTGGGAATACCAATATATTGGAGATACTAAAAATTTACTAAAAAGTCACATCTCTAATGTACATAGTTAAAAATAGGTCATGTATGTATGTATATAGTAAAAATAGGTCATATATGTATGTATATATGTATGTATGTATGTATGTATGTATGTATGTATGTATGTATGTATGTATGTATGTATGTATGTATGTATGTATGTATGTATGTATGTATGTATGTATGTACATAGTTAAAATTGGTATGTATGGTAATTTTACTAAAAACTAAATTATCAGAGTTACCAGAGATACTTACTAAATTGGAAATTATTGTTTATACTAAGTTGGAAATATTGTTATACTAAGTTGGAAATTATTGTTTCCAAAGGGTAAAAATATGTTTCCAGAAAATGTAGCCAATACTTATTCCCTACATTTTTATTAAGCAAAATTAGATTAATGGCCAAGATATCTAGAGACTTAGGTAGCATGGTGCCTAGAAACACACCATTCACAGCAAAAATAATTGGTTATATTGATTATAAAGCTATTTTTTTTCAGATGATTGCAATATAAGTAGCAAAAGTTATTAAATATATAAATTAAATATCATTTAATAGATATATTAAATATCATTAAATATAATTAGTAAATATATAAAAAAAAAAGTGGCATTTGATGAATAACAACTGCTTTTTTTACACAATTTTCGAGCAATTCATGCTTGTCTATGTTGTTTTTTTCAATTTAAAAATTATTGTATTATTAACTTTTAGTCCTCAGAGAGTCTTTACAATATTATATTAATGCAATAATTTTGCACTAATGCAATAAATAATGCATGCAATCTACAACTTATTGCATTAATGCAATTGATTGAAAAACATTATTGTTGTAAGTTAGTACAAGTTAGTAGTTGTATAATTGTTTTTGTGAAAATCTTTTACACAATTCTTTTATTTATTTCAATTTGTTTTGTTTATTTTGTTTTTATTAATTTTTTGAATTACAGAAAGTATTCAAAAAAGAATAAAAACTTTTTAAAATACAAAATAACATTTTATTTATTATAATCATTTTTTATGTTATTTGTATATTAATATTTATTATTTTTTAGGGATTTAGCTGTTGAGTTACGTTCTAAACTAGGTGATTGGTTCAGAGTTGTTCAGTTACTAAAATGGGGTGGAGGAGGAGGTTAAAAAAAGTTTTAATTTATATTGTTTAAAATTTTCTAAAGTATTTTTAGTTAGTTTATAGAATGATGTGTAAATACACATATATATATATATATATATATATATATATATATATATATATATATATATATATATATATATATATATATATATATATGTACACACACACACACACACACACACACACACACACACACACACACACACACACACACACACACAAACACACACACATACTTAGGTGGATATAGTTTGGTACTGTCCTAATATATTATGCGCACTTTAAATTTTAAAATCGGCTTAGGGTAACTTTTCCATCTCTTGCTTCTATATTCAGTAAAAAGTTTTGTAAAAATTGGCGCAAAGAAAGAAACATAAAAAATAGACTATGAAAAAATTTTGTAATCTGGACAGCCATGATAATGTATGTACTTATAGTAAAGGGGTTAAATATACAGTTTGTGGTAAAAAAACAGCTTTTAGCTTGTCTATGGTGTTTAAACTGACATAATTAAGATTAGATTATAACAAAACACATTAATTTAATTGAGAAGACTAATTGAATTTCATGTTTTTTTAAAAGACACACAAATGCAAATTAAAGACTAAAATGTTTTTAAAAGCATTCTGAATGTTTTTAACTTAACTCCCTTGTAGCATCGACGATCTTATAGCCTGCTGCTACAAGGGAGTGTTGCTACAACTATCTTATACATCGACTATCTTATAGTCACCAATAAAAATAATTTCAAGCCCAAAAATTCTGATGTTAGATGGTTTTAGAGGCTCCTACCAGTCCAATTTGTGTATAAAAACATTAGACTTCAGTGGTCTGAAAAAAGACATAAAATCAACTCACAAAGCCAACTTTTCTTTTATATGGTATAATTTGGACTAGTTATTATTAGTAGAGTAGGACCAAAAAGAAACATGGTGTTTTTTATTCCACATGATCTGGAGAAAGTGTTAAGAAAATTTTAGGTAAAAATATGAATGACCAAACCCTCGGTCAATGTAGCGGCACTTCCTTGTAGTAGCAAGCTACAAGATAGTCGATGTAGCAGCACTCTTTTTTAGAAGAGGAGGAGAGGTAAGACTACTGATTGGGGCAAGGGGTAAGACCACCAAGCATATGTGCGCATAGGGTGGGGTATAAAAATGTACAAGGTACAACAGGGGGGATGGAAGGGTTTTTAGATAAAATGAGGTATTACTATGTATAATTGATGCTGGTTTATTCTTCATATTTAGACCAAATTCTAAAAATTGATGTTATAACTAAGCATCATTAACCTTTATATAGAAGGAAGCACGTCATTGGCTCCTCTCCCTCCTCACCTGATTGTTTGGGATTCCCCCCCCTTTTTTTTTTTATTGGAGGGCGATGTCCCCCAAAATTATTTAAACTTGATTATCATATTTAAAATTATTTTATTTTCTTTAGAAAACAAAAAACAAAAAAATATTGAAATCATGATAACATTTTGATTCTTAAATGTTTTGGAATATTCATTTGTTTTTGTGCAAATTTTATGGACAGTCATATTGCTGTATTTGCCTTTTAATTCCATTCTAGATTCGGTGTTATGGGGTATATATATCTGATGTTTCCATAACAATTTTTAACAGGTATACTGTCTGTGGTTATATACAAAATTATTAATGTAAAATACAAGTGATTTAAACAAAGAATATCTATTCTTTTTGTTATTTTTAATCAAAATACTGCTTAGACTAAAATTTTCAGAAACCAAGGTGCAGAGATCGACAAGGCTTAAAAAAAGAAGATATCTTTTTGAAAAAGAGGATCTTAAAGAAAACCTAACAACCAAACTGGTTGTTTGTACTAGTGGACATCAAACAGCAAAGTGTTCAAGTCTTGATAGCTGTCCTGAAAACGGTATTCTATTTGCAGTTAAGAAATGTTGGATAGACATAGGATACAAGGATGCGATACTCACTTATCCATTTATAAGTTGTACTAACTAAAATTTAGTTCATATTAAAGAGATAAGTTGTTATAAAATACACTACAAAAATTTAGTATAATATAATATTTTATAAATCTTTTACATATTATTAGAAAGGGTGATCTGATCAACAGCTATAAGAATTTAAAGTAAAGTGTAAGATAAGATTTCAAAAAGAAAAGAAAGTTTTCTGGATAAACCAAATGTTCAAAATATTTTAAAGAAGACTAGCCTTAATAATGACTTGTATAATGCATATATGAAATTTTTGAGAGATCAAAAGGCCAGTCGTAAAATGACTCTGGGTAAAAAAGACAAACTATGTAATTAGAGAATTGAGAAGAGGGAACAAAGAAGATTGAATTATGTACAGTTAGTGCTGAACAGTTGCTCAAAGAAATGATTTGACCACAGAGCTTCAGTTTTCCTCAGAAACCAGTGATATAAACACCATCATAGACCATCATAGTGGTGTGTCATTACTTAGACCTGGCTGTACATTTCGTCCAGCCAGGTCTGATTAATGACACACCACAGTTAGCCAAGAATTTTATGTAAGGTATTGCCATAACTTCAGTTTTCAAAAATATTTCTTTCACAGATTTGCTGCATGTGTGTACTGATTTGGTTGTTAGTTAGTGTAGAAATGTTGTTGACTTTTCACTGTCTCAATCAACTATTTGGCTAGCACAAAAGAAAACCATCTAGCTAAATGCTGCACAGCACGAATAGGGGAGAAGGGGGGTGGGTTAAAAAAGCTGCTGAGAAAGCACTTTTCCCTATAATAGCTCACTTTGATAGAAAAATTATGAAAGATATCACTGATGGGAGGAAAGAAAAAAGAGACAGGTTTGGTGTTTCAGCTAATATTGATGGAGAAATTAAGCTTCTAGGAATTCCAACTATGGAACATGGAACTGCTCAGTATGAAGTTTTGGATAATGCACTGGAAAACTATGGAATAAGTGATAATGTGAAGGGATTATGTTTTGATACAATTGCCACAAATACTGAAGGCATTTAGGAACCAATATTAGGTTCAGTTAAAGACAAGAATCAATTTTATTAGAGCTTGCTTGCAGGAGGCATATATATGAGCTACTTCTCAAACATTTCTGGGAGCAAATTAACTCAGGCAAAACAGCAGCTCCAGAAAAAACGGTTTCAGTCAAACTATAATGACACAAAGGAAACTGTTGAGTTATCCAACTTGATAAGGTTTGGTACCAATTCCATCAGCAATACTTTCTTGACAACCCGGGTTCAGAAAACTATCCAGTTTTGCAAGGATGCACTGAACACTGACATTTTCCCAGAAGGGATTATAGGAAGTTATTAGAACTTACCCAGATATATCTGTGTCCTGAAATTGTTTTCAGAATTCGAGCTCCAGGCTGTGTTTTTGCCTTTAGCTGCACCACTCCTGGATGTAAAAGCCTATTGGCAAATGGTACAATACAAAAAACACGTAAAAAAACATGACTCTGGTTCCATAAGAGTTCTAAATGGAATTGAAAGAACAATGATATCAATGCAGAGACACACCTGGTACCTAGACAAGACAAACCTTAGTTCCACTTACTCTCGTAAAAATTGAACTTCTTGATGCGGAGAGAAAAAACATTGCAAAAACATTATTCTCCAAACCAGTTCCTCATCAGTTTCAGCATTCAGAGAAGTCAAACTTGATAAAAGAGATGAACTTTAAACAAGAAGAGCCACCAGGACTTGCTCCATTAATTGGAAAGAACTCTTGGTTCATCTTTAGTTTATTTAACCTGATTAGAATGGAGGACAACTTTAGTTAAACTGCCCTGCTCCTATGTGGTGCTATATTGATCAGTTCAAAAGAATTTTCCAATTTTGTAAGTAAACTCGAAGTAGTGAGTGATGGTTTTGAAAGGGCATCCTCATTGTGAAATGAGGATAATCATCAAAGAATCTTTCTTTGCTGCTAGCTAGTAGAAACTAGCTGTGCAGCAAAGAAAGATCAGCTATGTGGGTCAGAATCCAAGGAACAGTTGCAGCTAGCCTATGAAGGAATAGGCAAGCAGAGAAATAAATAACATGATTTATAATAGATTTATGTATGACATTATATTATATTTACACATCTTGATTTCAATATTTAAATTGCCAGGTGATGTATTTTTTATATATACAAAATAAAGTGATTTCAAATAATCTGATTTATAATGAAATTTCCATAATGTTGGGTGCGTCCCCCCTTTCGTTAATGTAAATAAAAATTGAAATTAGGAATTATTTAAAGAACGAAAACTGAAAGAGAATTGAATATCAACATCATAAACAAAAACAGTTAAATTATTTATTACTGAATGAAAATTATTGAATTCAAAAGTAAAATTTAACACAAAAAATTTTCATGACAATTTACTTACACTTCCTTTGTTGTTGTTGCACATGTCTGACAAGAATCAAACTCTTACGTCAATGATAAATTTATTCTTTTGTTACAAAAAAATATAAATATTTCAAGACACTAAAAAATTGATAAAATGAATGAGATGATGAAAGCATCATTAGTGGTTAGAGCTTTTATGAAACTAAACAAGAATATGTGATTGAAATTTATGTATATATTTTCTTGCAGTTTCAAAAAAATCTCAATTCAATTCAATTGTTTAATAATTATTGTTTGATATTTATTATTTATATTGTACTATGTTATATTAAGAAATTACCTTAATATTGTTGTCTTGAAACTTTGATAGTGATACTTAATAAGTTAATATCCTGTTAAAGTTTCCAAAAAAACTTGATAGAAGTGAAATATTAACTGAATTAAGGACTGAAATAAGAAGGAGAATTGTTGAAATCAGAAGAACTGAACTGAAATTAATCTTAGGAGAACTAATTTATAACTGAAATAAGAATAATTTTATAAGTAAAATTAGAATTAGAATTTAATTCAATGCCACAAAAACTGAATCGAAACTGAAATAGAAATTATATTTCAAACTTAAAGGGATTTTTACGTAAAACCACTGATTTTACGTTAAAATCCCTTTTTTTTGACACTTACTCCAAATCATGTGGAATAAAAACCAACATTTTTTTTTTTATCCTACCTAATAGTAACTAGTCCAAAATATACCATATGGAAGAAAGTTGGCTTTCCGAGTTGATTTTAAAGGTCCCCATCACATGACTTAATTATTGGATAAAACTTTATAAAGAAACTGTAATGTTATTTTGATAGAAAAAAAAGCAATTTTATAAAATTTTGACATATCTAATGTTTTCGATATAGTTTGGCATGCTGATCGTCTCCATAAGCTTGCTTCATCTGGTGATCTAGATTTTCAGATTTTCTTTCTAACTGCTTTATTAAAGTAATCTTTGAAGGCCAACACTTTTCTTCATTTCCAGTAACTTCTGGGGTATCACAAAGTTCTATACTTGGTCTTGTATTGTTTCTTATATACATTAATGACCTACCTGAAAATCTTGCATCTAAAGTGGCTCTATTTGCTGACGACTCAAATTTATACTTGATCACTTGAAACATACAGATTTGTTGGGAGTAAATTTGATTAAAATATATTTTTAATCTAAATAAAAAATATATTTAGATATTTTGAAAAATAAAAATAATTGAGTCGCTCAAACGAGCAACTCAATTATTTTTTTTCATTTTTTCTTTAATTATATTAATTTAATGATATAGTTTGTTTTTAATCTAATTATTTAGTTATATCTGATTTATTTTTAATTTGTTTTTTTTTAGTTAGAAATTTCATTATTTAATTAATTCAAATGTTTAATATACGTATATTAATACTATATAAAGTTATAACTTTTACACTATTTATATTTTGAATCATTATTAAATACTGTTTAACGATATACGGTAAACAATAAGTTTAATCATTCATTAAAATGTATTTAAAAGAACAAATTAGATTAAATTAAAAATTTAATTCAGATCTAAATAAAATTTTGTGCATATAATTTAGCATTTAAAAACCGAAATGAATTAAAATTTTTTCAAAGAGCAACAATGATAATGATAAAACTATAATAATAATGATAACCATTTTTAAATTTTTTTTTATTTGCCTTAAAATCATAACTATTCTTGTGAACTTCATTCATTTTTACAAAGGCTTGTTTTGCTTGTTTATTGTGTTTAAAAAAAGTATTTGTTAAAGCCCTTAAAGCAAGTAAAAAAAGTCACTCATGCTTTTTCTAGATTTAGAATAGCAAATATTATCAATAGTTTTTCATTGAATTAATTCAAGTATTAATTCAAAATTGACTTAACTGTACATGAAATACACTGAGTACGAAATTAAAAAAAAAAGGTGTCGAATGACTCAAAATGACGTTGTTCGTGTTTTGAGTGTTTTGAGCATCAATATTTTGAGTCACTCGGCGGGCGACCAATCCAAATCTAACACCACTGATAAATATAAATATATATATATATATATATATATATATATATATATATATATATATATATATATATATATATATATATGTAAAAATTTTAAAGTATAAATATCCCATGAAGGAAATTCTTATTTTTAGAAATTATACATAAAGTATAATTTAAGAAATTATACTTTATATAATTATAAGAAATTATACTTAAATATTTATTTATATATAATACTTTATCAAAAAATGATTTAAAAAGTATATTAATATATATATATATATATATATATATATATATATATATATATATATATATATATATATATATATATATATATATATATATATATTAGAGTGCCACTAAAAACAACTTTTTTTGAAATTGTTTGCTGCCACCCCCTAAATGTGTTCTATGTAATAAGTTAACACTAAATTTAAAAAAAATTTAAATAAAAATTTTTTTTAGGGGTTGCTCAAGACCCTTAAACATCAAACGAGTCCCTAATATTTTGAAAAAAAAAGTTCTTCAAAAGTATATCATGTTGGGTCTCAAAAGAAGTGAAATTTTATAAAAGTACAGATTTTCAAAGTTTTTTTTTATAAACTTTTTTAATTTGTGTTTCCATAAATTGTTTTTTTAAATTTTTAAATTATTTTTGAAATTTTCATATTTCAAATTTTTAAATTATTTTCAAATTTCACTTCTTTTGAGACCCAACATGATATACTTTTAAAAAACTTTTTTTTTCAAAATATTAGGGATCCATTTGATGTTTGACCCCTAAAATATTTTTTTATTCAAAAATTTTTCTAATTTAGTGTTAATTTATTACGTAGAACACATTTAGGGGGTGGCAGCAAACAATTTCAAAAAAAGTTGTTTTTAGTGGCACTCATATATATATATATACATATATATATATATATATATATATATATATATATATATATATATATATATATATATATATATATATATATATATATATATTTATGTATGTATATATATATATATATATATATGTATATAAAAATTATATAATGTATAAATTATATATATATATATATATATATATATATATATATATATATATATATATATATATATATATATATATATATATATATATATATATATATATATATATATATATATATATATATATAGTTTATACATTGTATAATTTTTATATATATAAAGATGATACTTTGCTGGAGAAAGCTTGGAATGCCATAGGAGATTACTATTGTGATAGACAAAAATGGGCAAATGCCATCCAGTACTATACAGAAGGAAGAAATGAAGACAGAATTATTGAATGTTATTATATGCTTGAAGATTATAAGGGCATGTCTAATTTTGCAAAGCAGCTGCCAGATAATCATAAACTACTAAAGGTATATATAAGTTTTTTTATTTTGTTTCTAAGATATCAATTGCTATAAAGTAACGGTCTTTTAAATTTATCTAATAAATGCTAGTTTTAAATAGAAAAAATTAAAATCAGATATTTTGGATTTTTAAATCGTACATAACAAACAAATCTGTAGTACAAAGAGAAAATATCCCTGGTTGAACTTGCTTCTACTAGGGATGTGATAGGGTTAGAACTTATACTACTTATGAAGCAAGTGTTTTACTACTGCACTATTAATTTATCAATTACCAATTACTCAAGTGTTTAAAATCTCATTTTAAAAAACTTAAGTAATTGGTTATAACTTTTATAGTTAATTGGGGACAAACTTGGTGCTGTTGGCTTATGTGAAGATGCTGTTATGGCATATATGAAATGCAACCAAATTAATCTGGCAATAGAGACATGTGTCATTCTAAATCAATGGGATCTTGCAGTTAAACTAGCCAAAGAACACAAACACAATGAAATCAGTGGTCTTCTTTCAAAGTATGCTACTCACTTACTTGAAAAAAACAGAATATTAGATGCAATCGAACTATACAGAAAAGCAAATCATTTTGTGGATGCTGCCAAACTTCTTTTTCAGGTTATTTTATTATCTTTTGTTTTGTTTTTTACATTCATCAGATTATTCCACTATAACAGTGTTCAACTAAAAAAAAAGGTAAAAATTGTAGAAATACTGGCATTCAATACTCAAATTGCATTCAATACTCAAATTGTATTCAATAAACAATAGCACAATTACAATATAAAACTTAGCTATCAAAATTTGTTTGAAAACATTTTTTTTTTCTGGTCATTAACGTGCTCCAAGCAGACATAAAATCTTTGTCATGGCACAATGGATTTAATGTGGAAGTTTTCATTTCTTCCTAAACAGTGTTGATTTTTAATGCTTGATTTTTATGCCACTGCTCTAACAATAGCTGCTGGGGTAGGCAAATTGGAACTGAAAAATTCTATAAAATTATTTATCAAGTGAAGTATCATTTTATTAAAAGTAATCAATATGAGTATTGAAAAATAAATAATACTCTGTACAGATTTTCTAATTACTGGTATTTTTGTATTAATTTTATTTTAATTTTTGAAATCAAGTTTAGAGTAACAACAACACCAATAATACTAAAATGACACTACTATTTAATAAAGTGAATTTTATTTATTATCAAAATTTATTTATAGTAACTTTAAAAAAAAGTTTCTATAAAAAAATTAGTCTAAACATCTAAAAAAACTTTCGAAAGTCAAGCAATAGTTTATGTATACCCTGGAACATTTCAGAGCTGGCATGTATTATAAATGGCAATGGGTAGGCAAAAAAATAATTTGTATTTTAGAAACTAGAATCAAGACATTACAAGTGTAAAGTAGATATCAAATGTGGAGAATTCTCTTCTTGAGTCAGGATTCAATACTTTTTTTGGTTATTAAAAACCTGAGTTTGAGTGATCAACTGGTTGATTGTAGCTTACTCATTGCCATGATTATCAATAAAATATTTGTTAATAAGTTTATTAGTAACATCAACATCAATATTGTAATTAATAATAATCAAATTATAATTTACTAGCAATATATTTATATAATGTAAACAATATATTATATAATATATTAACTATAAATTTGGTAAAATGGTCAAAAATAAATAAGGGTAAGCTTTTAACCACTTAAATAAAAGACCAAAAATTAGACCATTTTAATTAAATTACCTACCATTTAATTAAGTATACTGACCATTTAAATACAAGCCTAACTTTTATTACAACAATTAATTTAACAACTTCCATAAAGTTCTTTTTTTGAATTGCAGTGCTTTAATAAGAATAATACAGAAATTGTTTTTTAAAATTATACAAAAATTGTTTTTTATATTCAAGCTAGCTGATGGCGTGGCAAAATCACGCACTCATCCTATGAGAGCAAAAAAGCTGTATGTTCTGGGAGGATTACTTGTGAGTATTTTATCCAAAAAAAATTTTTTTTTATGACTTTAAGTTTTTTGTTTAAATATTTTGACATATATTTAGGTAGAGTCTTACCATAACCTAATGAAGGAGAATGCGTCCAAAGATGCGTTGGAAAAAGGGAAATCATATTCAGCTCTAGCTGGTCTCTTAGAAGAAGATTTTATGTCAAAAGGAGATTCTTTATTAGTTGATAATGCTTGGAGAGGAGCTGAGGTTTTTAATTTTTTTTTTTTTATTATTATTAAAACTAGCTTTTTCAAAAAAAAATCTTTTTAGCTTTTTAATAACTAAATACTCCAATTAATTTGGTATCAAGTTCAAGAAGTTTTTGTATGATATATTTGATTTCAATAAACAGATAAATTTCTCTACAAGTAATTATCAAAAATTCAAAAGTATAGTATTATTATGTTGAAACACCTGACTTTTGCTTTGCAGCGAAAAAATTTAATAATTAGTATGCCATGAGTTTTATACTCCAACATTAAAACTTCAAAATAGTAGTTTAATATTTTTATTATTAGTGATATTAATATTTGAAATATTTTAAATTTGTTTAAAAAAATTGAAACACCACACTGACACTTCTTTTTTTTGCTATTAATTTTTACTTATTTTTATCTTTCGATTTTACCTCTAAATAATGAAAATTATCTGTTTCTTATTACCACAATCTTTTTTTTAACCTCATTTCATTCATTTTACATTTGGTGCCTTATTTTTCATGTTAATACGACTTCTTGTACTGAAATGCAGGAAGCAAAGTATGTTATTGATGAACAAATTACTTATTATTTTATTGAAAATAAAATAAGAAATAATTCTCTTATTAAAATCTTTCTTCACAATCAAGTAGTTAAATTCTTTAATAAAACTCTTTTTAAAATCTTTCTTCACAATCAAGTAGTTAAATTCTCTGATATAATGGATGTGATTACAATTGATGCATTCCATAATATGATTTACATTGTTGTTCAGCTGAAAGCTGTAATTATGCATTAGGTTTCGGTTATGCATTTTTCTCATAGAATGAGTGAGTGATTTTGCCACACCATCAGCCAGCTGATTTAAAAAACAATTTCTGTATTATTCTTATTCTGTCTTAAAATGATAATTCTTTTAGTGACGGATCAAGTTAAGTTGGGATGAGCAGTTCAGCAGTAAATTATTCACAAGATTTTGTAACAAATCACCTTTTAGGATGTTTTGATGCAAAAAATTGATTATATAATTTTTTACCATTTTTTTACATATTATGTATTATGTTTTGCATATTAGGTTATTGCATATTGCATGTATTAACCATTGCATATTGCATATATTAACCATTGCATATTGCATATATTAACCATTGCATATTACATATATTAACCTAATATGTAAAAACAAGTTTTGACATATTAAAATCCAATAGAGGATCAACTAAAATCTTCTATCAAACATTTTTTTATAGCAAAAGCTAGAAATACGCAGTGCAGTATATCATTTGATGAAATAAATTTCTCACTGGTTCAGTGAGAACATTGTAACATTGCATACCATCAAAACTATTTGATTCTAGTTAGGAGAAAAATTACAGCTACAATTTTAGTTTTTAGCATATAACATCAACTGGCCTTGATTATGGCATTAACTTGTTGGATATGCATATATTTTTTTAACTGATGTATATCTGTATACAGTGAGTAAATGTAAAAAAATTGGTTATCAAAAGCAAGTTGTGCATGAAATTGGTTAAGGTTAAATGTTGTATAGCTAACTGATACAACTTTAAATGTTGATACCTGTACAGGTGTTTTTAAATCTACTTTTGAATAATCTGTAATTAATATTTTAGTTTTTGTTCGATTAAATATCTATTAGTATTTCATTTGCAAATGTTTATGTAATCTAAAAAATATAGAATAAATTAAAATAATGAATTTGATAATCATTTAAATTATTATCAAAAAAAACTGAAAAAGTTTTTGTAAAAGTATGTGTACTTCTAAATATAATAGGGTAACTGTCGAGTGTAAATTTAAACTTTGAAGTTTTTTTATGTTTTTAAAAATTCCCATCCGCTGTTGTCTCTACCTGTATGCCCATTCTCCCCATTCTTTTTCTCGAAAAATAGTTTTTTTTTAACTATTTTTAGGCTTTCCATTTTTACTTGCTTGCACAACGACAACTTTATGAAGGTTATCCATCAAGTGCACTTAAAACGGTATATTATATTTTTTTTAAAGGGATCGTAAATGTATTAAATATATTTACGATCCTTTCTTTTTTATTTGATATATAAACAATGTATTTATAATTGTAGTTTCGTTCGGGTAGGTTTTCAACAAATTTAGTTACGTCTAAAAATGTTTAAAACTCTAGGTGATGCATTTGCGTGATTATGACGACATTATTGATCCTGTGGATGCTTATTCATTAATAGCGTTAATTGCTTGTGCCAATGAAGCTTTTGATGTATGCTCCAAGGTAATTTTATAAATAAGCTTTTTGACCGTATAGATGAATTTATACACTTTGTGTGTAAATTGTGTTTAGGTGAATTTTATTACTAGGTCTGTAAATTTAAAATTACTTTTTATTTAATTTTTAGTCATTTATCAAGCTAGAATTGCTAGAAAGCCTCACCGAAGAACAAAGGAATCAATACGAAGAGCTTGCTTTAAAGATTTTTACGAGGCACTTTTTACTAAAAATAGTTTTAGAGAAGATAAAAAAGTAACGAATTGTTTAAATCTGTATGCAAATGTTTTTTTCAACTTTTTTTTAGGCACAATCCAAAAGACGGACGATCAAATCAAATGGAATGTACAAGTTGTAGTACTCGAATACCTGATTGGTTAGAAAATTTTTTGATTTATTCATGTTAAGTAGAGCACTTTACACTTTTTTGTTTTGTAATTAATTTTTTTTTATAGTAAAGGTGTTCGCTTGTGATGTGAAATTTAGTGTATGTAGAGCACTTTACACTTTTTAGTTTTGTAATTTATTTTTTTCAATACTAAAGGTGTTCTACATGCCCCGCTTGTGATGTGAAATTTAGTGTATGTATAGCTAGTGGTCGTCCGTTATTAGAGTATCAATTCTGGATGTGTAGAGTATGCAAGCACAGAGCTTTTGAGGGAGAGATAATCAACCTAGTCGCGTGCCCTCTATGTCACACGGTTTTATAATTTTTTTTTAGAAAAAACGGTTTTATAATTTTTTTTTTTTTTTTTATTTTTTTTTTGCTATCTTGCTTAAATACAAGAAGAAATTTTTGATTTTGATTTTTTGATTTTAATTTTTTTTAAATCTTAAGCTTTTTAAAAAATTTTCAAAAAATTATCACGATATTTTCAGAAATTTTGTAGAAATTTAAATTTCGCGACGTTTCCAAGAATTGATATTTCAAATTTTTTTTTTTCTGAATTTTTTTTTTTTATAACTCTAAGCGAACTTTTATTTATTGATAAAAAAATATTAAAGAATTTGATGTTATGTGGTTAAAATATTCTTGCAGTTATATTGTATATAAATAGTATTGATTTACTGAAATGATATTAAAAAGCGAAATATACGAATCATTGAGCTAAAGTTTTCAGAATGATTTTGTATGTATGACCAGGTATTAAAAAATTTAGAAACATTGTATTTCAATTATCAAGTCTTAGCACAGCTATGACTATATCATTTAAACTATCATAAGCCTAACGTTGCCAAACTAAATTAGAATTAAGGTGACCATTGATAGCGTCATACTGAAATAGTCACTTGTCTGGGCATTAATACATAACTATAGATTACATGCGGTATACGCAGATAAAGGACATTTATTACAGAGGGAAAAAAAAAATTTTTTTTTTCATTTATTGTCGGAAAAAATGTGTGTAAGTATTTCAAAAGTTAATGTATAAAATTATGTTTATAAATTATAAGTTAATGTATAATATTATATATACTCGAAAGTTATAGTTAATTAAAGTTCAAATTTTATATTGTAAGATCAGGAATATAAATTCAAGGTTACAACCTGTAAATAAAAACTTTAATCTGTTCCATGATGATGATTGAAATGTTATATTTAATATTAAACTATAAGTTTAACTAAGTAAAACATCTGTGGATGCACGCAGGTTAGAAATAACACATAATCTATATCAACTGATTACCATATTTGAGTCCAGTTTAAAAAAAAAGAGATAAAAATCTTTAAAAAATTCCTCAGAGCTTATGAGACCCAGTATAAACAATTGTTTTCATGCTCAGAATATGATTAAATCTATAGGCATAACATTGGAGTCTAGATATTAAGAAAAAAAAACAGTAAATTTAATAATTAATTTTATTTTCAATTATTTATGAGATTCTGATCACGATAAGATAATCACAATAAAAATTAATTGTGATCTGCTCTTAAAAATCTTAAAAATCTCGTTATGTAACAAATAAATATAAAATTCAAAAAGTAGCACGTAAATTTTACACAATCTTTGAATTAAATTTTGGCACAAATTATTGCGTAAATTTTAACAAACTCCAGATGAATGATCATAACCTCTAAAGTTGAAGGTTATAACCTCTAGAGTATATTGATGATCTTACTAATACCAGATAACAACTTTATAATTGTTACAAAAATGATTACATACAACAGTACGTTCTGTCGTTATAAGTATTCACTATCGGCCAAAGGAGTAGCCAGCACAACTCTTGCTATAGGGCTTGTGATTAATGCGGTGATTGGATTTGTTTTAAATTTTATACTTGTAATAGGCCTATATAGAGCTAGGTCTGTAAAGAAGTACACAACGTACGAAAAGTTGGTAATATCTTTATCTCTTGTTGATTTATTAGTAGCTTTTGTACAATTTCTTACCCCTGTATTGATAATAAACATTTTCGAGCAAGTAGTTTGCTTCCATTTGTCTATAATTTGGTTTTGGAACATATTTCTAAATGGTATTTCAAGTTCTTTCATCTTACTGATATCAATCAACCGTTTTATTATTGTGTTTAACAAAAAAATATCGTGGCATGGTCGTCGTGGTTACTTATTACCTTGCTTAATTGGTTGCGCTTTTACAAGCCTTGCTTTTGGTTTGTGGTATAGTTTTATAGAAACTTCAATAGACACGTTTCAACAATCAGTTCTCTTCTTTACTATAGGAGGCCATAGAACTATAGTTTTATCAATCGTCACTGGAATCAATATTTCACTATTGTATAAATCTAAAAAGTTACTGAAAAGCAACGACGTTCAAATTCAGAGAAATGTTTTATTAGAAAAAGAGGTTTCTAGAACTATTTTACTGATTTCTATGTCGTTAGTTATTCTTCATCTTCCATTAGTTATAACCGAGTATGCTTTTGGAATAGTTATGAAGGAAAAAAAATATTTTATGACTAATACAATGTTATTGTTACTAAACTGGGCAATGGCGTTGTGTCATCTTAATTCAACAATATTTGCATTAGTTTTTATTTGTAAAAACAGAAAAGTCTACAACTTTTACTTTATATGTTTCAGATTTTTTATAAAGCAATGCAGAAATAAGTAATTATTTAAAGTAATACATGTAAAGGTTTATTCAAAATTTAAAAATTGTAGTGTTTTATAACGAATTTGTTCAAGGAGTTCTGTATAAACTTTAATTGTTAAACTATATTTGAATAATTGAGAATAAGATGTAAATAAAATTTATTAGAAATAAATAGTTGTACTTTTTTTCCCCAACTCATTTCCTTTTTTGATATTTTTTCAACATCTATTTCCAATAAATTTTTGACAACCTGGTTCAAAACACATTTATCAATATTTGGCAGTGTTTTTAAAATATTACTCTTAATAGCAAACATTATTTAAAAAAAAGAAATATATATATGAATATCATGTGTATATAACAGATAGATATAGATATCTATATCTAGTTGTGAAATAGATATTATCTATATCACATCATATAGATATTATCTATATCACAGCTAGATATCCTAGCTGTGGTATAAATAATATCTATATCACAACTAGCTGTGATATAGATATTATCTATATCACTAGTTGTGATATAAATAATATTTATATCACAACTAGCTTAAGAACCTAGCTAGGTTCTTAAGCTATATGATATAGTATATATACTATATCATATAGCTGAATATAATTATGATAGCTTAGATATATCTAAGATAGAGCTGAACAGCTATATTTTAGAAATATCTTAAATATAGCCTGAAGCTTCAGACAATATTTTCGAAGATATCAAACCACAGGTTTTATATATTTAATCTTATATCTTTATATTATAAATAAAGTGCGACAGGAAATTTCATTGGAAAAAATTATTGGAAAAAATTGGAAAAAATATTGGAAAAAATATTATTTTATTAATTGCAGGATCAATTATTAAAACATGTAAAAATATTACAAATAGAAATTAAGAACTAAACATTGAAAAAAAAATATGGCAACCCATACTTCTCTATATAATCTCTCCATACTTCGCATAAAATCTCTCCAAAATTTCACGGTAGAATACCGTAAAGTAGTTAAACAACGCTGTAAATTAGTGTTCACGGCCAAGGTACCGTAATATTAACGGTATTGTACCGTAAAACGCATTAAGGGTGCAATACCGTATAATTCACGGTATAGTACCGTGAATTTCACAGTAAAGTTTTACAGTATATATATATATATATATATATATATATATATATATGTATATATATATATACATATATATATATATATATATATATATATATATATATACATATATATATATGTATATATATATATATATATATATATATATATGTATATATATATATACATATATATATATATATATATATATATATATATATATATATATATATATATATATATATATATATACATATATATATATATATATATATATATATATATATATATATATATATATATATATATATATATATATATATATATATATATATATATATAATATAATATAATATAATATAATATAATATATATATATATATATATATATATATATATATATATAATATAATATAATATAATATATATATATATATATATATATATACACATTCTGAGATATATATAGGGGGAATGCACAGTAAAATTCGTCTTACAGGAATAGTTGAGGCAAGTGCAGCGCGCTGCCCTTGCTAGCGGGTCCACCCGCTAGCAGCGCTGCACTTGCTGGCGCGCTGCACCCGCTAGCGGGTGATAAAATTTCTATGTTTGTAATAGGAAAATCAAAATCATCTCGCTGTTTCAAAGGAATTAAGCACTTAACTTGCAGATACAGAAATCAAAATAAAAGCTGGATGGATAGCGTACTGTTTGAAGAGTGTATATGAGAAACGGATACAAAGTTTACAAAAGGAAAGAAGAAAGTAGTTTTCATAATATATAACTGCCCAGTACACCCGACGGTTGATAATCTAAAATCTATTGAGCTCATTTTTTTACCACCGAATACCACATCTAAACTTCAACCAATGGATCAGTGAGTTATACGCTCTTTTGAAGTTCATTAGAGATCTTTGGCATTGCAAAGGCTGGTCGTAGCTATTGATTAAAAAAAAAGATCTTACTGTTTTCTCAATTTTAGATGCAATGAAAATGCTTGATCTTGCATGGCAAAAAGTGAAAACCTCCACCATCATTAATTGTTTTGCAAAAGCAGGAATTTCTGAAGATCAGCAGAAATCTGCATATTCGGATGAAGACAACGACCTCTTTAAAGAGGTTCAAAATCAGATAGAAAAACTTGAAAATTTTTACCCTCCAGGTACAACAGCTGAAGATGTTGTTTTTGCAGATGAAAGCTTAATTAGCACTTAACCTTTACTTACAGATGAACAGTTGGTAGAAGAAGTTAAAAATGCAGCCAATAAACATGATGATAATGACGAGGAAGATAATGATGATGATAATGCAATCGATTTAGTTTGCCTAAAAGTTAGTGATGTTCGGGAGACACTGCGAGTGTTATATGACTATATGCCCTTCAGTCTTATGGGTGAAGATTTGCAACAAAAGCTCAATGCTGTCTCGATTAATGTCTCGATTAGTGTCTCGATTAGTGTCACGATTATATTCAATAAAGACGTATCTTCAAAACTAAAACAAGTGACATAAGAACATTTTTCAATTTACAATGTATTATTTTTACTTTTGAGATCAAAATTTTTAATAACTGGACATGTTTTTTACTTATCGGCCGAAGCTCGTGTTATAGAAT